ATATTTTAAGTGCTAACCTCTAAGAGGTTAGTACCTTTTATTTTTAAACTTTTACATAATTTCTAGCTTTCATATAATAAAGATTTTAACCAGAAAAGAACAAGATCTTATTGGTATTAACTTAAATATTTACCAAGCACCTACTCCTAGGACCTAGGCTAGTTAGTAGCCATACAACGTTGAGGAGAATAGACATTACCCCTACGTTCCTGAAGCTTGTAATCTGGTGGAATACGAAATGCAAAACTGATTTTTACTATACATGTATCAGGAAGTAGGGGCCTCAAGCATCCTCAGTAAAAGACCTGTGAAGAGGGACCACAACCTGTGACACATGGTAGTCAGAGTTCTGGTCCAGTCTGGGTTAGCAGTGGAAATAACCCAAGCCTTGGAGGAAGTGAGCAAAGTATATGTCAAATGCATGGGTCCTCGATGAAGGGAACTCAGAGGAGAAGATTCCAGTGGGATGTGCAGGGAAAAGGGTATGGGGGGGTAAAACACCCTGAAGTAGATCCCAAGACAGAGGGAACAGGGAGCCAGGGCGGAGACAGGACGTGGGTAGCAAGTGCACTCAGCAGCACACAACCCAGTCTGTTCAGAGCAGGACACAAGGGGTACAGGAGAGGTGACAGACGAGGCAGGCAGAAGCCAGACCAGAAACCAGAGTGCCTTGGAATCACTGTCCAGGGAGAAGTGGGTCACTTCTGCACAGGTGAGGCAGGTGCTCACACTGACCTACCTGTGAGGCGGAAGTAGTGTCACACATAGGGAGAGCACCTCAGATGACTGAGAACTGAGCCTGAACGTGATAGCTCCAAGTCATTTCTCAACATCTCTAGTGAGAACACAATACCTCCTTCATAGGCTTGCTCTGAGCAAGAAGAAAAATATCATACAAAAAGCTCCTCTGTTAGAAGAGACTGAGCCACCAGTGATTTTGAGGTGAGGTAGGATATTTCCCATCAGCAAGCTCATGCCAAGGCAGTCGTAGAAACTGTGGTACAACACGGGTGAGTGTGGTACAGAATGGTGTGTTGAGTGTGGCTTATGTGGTACAGTGTGGCATGGTTTGGTGTAGTAAGGTACAGAATGGTGTGGTGTGGTGTGGCGTAGTACGTTGTGATACGCTTCATGATAATCAGGCCCTCTAACTTCCTCACGTAGCCACAGAGCCTGGCTGGGCTGTGGTTAGATGGACTGGATAGATGAGGGGCTAGATGCACAGAGGGACAGACGAACAGAAGGACAGAAGAGAGACTAGAGAGATAGAGGCACTCATAGGAACAGTACAGCAGATCCCCCATGGAGTGGTAACAGTACAAACCTCACCAAACTGTTCTCCCATAACCAACAACAAACAGTTCCCCACACTGGAACTAAGCTCTCAGCTGTGCTGGGCCACATTTCTGGCCCTTTTGTGGGGGGCCTTATTGAGGACTCTTGCCTCTCAGCCAACCTCTCCACTCACTGCCCCGTAGGCATCTCTCTCCCAGGCTTCCGTGGTCAAGTTACCTTAGTCTCCAGCTCTTGACTTGTGGGGCTGGGAGCCTCATGGGTTTGAATGTCCATCACAGCAAGGAGCTGCTGGCCCTGGCAGATCTGCTTCCACAGGGCATCATAGTCCTCAAATAAGCCTAGGACATGGCGGCCATTCTTGCTGGCCCACGGGAGGTGGCCAGCGACTGGGCGGGGCATGCGCGAGGTAGTGGTTGCTGAGCTGCTACTATCACAGGACAGGGAGTCCACATCATTTCCAGAGCATGGAGGAATCTCTGAAGCTGCCAAAGCAAGGGGCAAAATATCGGATCACAGCACCCTGTGTTCACAGCTTACAATGCTAAAGCCAGCAAAGAGGGTCAAGGGAGGCCCTGGTGCTCATGCCCTACCCAGCACAAGTCCAGAGGGGAAGAGCCTGGCTCCTGGGCCTCCACCTACACCACCCTGCATCAGATTGACTATTCACCTTGTGGGAGAGGAGGAGGCTCAAGTTAATTCACCCAATGCTTATCATCCACCCACACTGCAGAAGACCCCAGATGCATGAGGCGAGTCCAGCTGGCCCCACACTGCAGCAGCCCAGGGTCTAATCAGAACACTGACACTACAGGAGGTGCCACTGCACAGCGGTGACCAGCAGAGCCCAGAGAGAAATGGTCCTTGAGTAGGGAGGGAAAGGTCAGGGAATCATTCCCAGAAGCATTAACCAGTGGGCTGAACAAGGAGCCAGAATTACCCTAGGCAGAGGTAAAAAAGCCTATTGCCATTTGCCTTTGCACAAACAGCAGTGTGATAACTAATTCTGACGGGGGACAGCAGAAAAGGTTTTTCACAAAGAAGTCTTCATTCAGGATGAGTCTTGAGGAGTAAAAGGGTTATCGTGGCTGAGAGGAGGACTGAAAGCCACAGAGAGGAGAGAGTGCAGCCTGTCTGCAGGATGGTGACCCATCTGTCTGCCCCAGGGAGAAGAAGCCTGGACAGGCCTGCTGGGGCTGCATGCTAGACAGCCTTGAAAGCCACATGAAGATGGCCACGCTTGAAGGCAACAGAAACCCAGTGAAGTTGCTGAGGTGGGTAAATCCTAGGGAAGGATTAAATGCCTTGGAGGGAGAGACGATCTGCTAGAGATGCTGAGACTCCGAATCCAAAATCCCTGCTAAATACTTAGGTAGGACCAGGAAACCGCTCTGCTTCCATTTAAAAAGTTCTACTGACATAACTAACACTGCCACAGTTACTAAGACTCGGTTCTGTACCTGAGTTTGGTGTTACTGTCTGGGTAGAATCAAACAGATCAAATGAATTATCACTTGCCATGGGATATTCGTCACCATCTACAAAACGCAAAGCAAGAGAAAGAAACAGTTAGTTTCACTATCATTAAACAGAAAAAAACAGAATGAAGATACGGTAAAGAATCTCACACACGTATATACATACATTTATTCAGACACACAAGCAATGATTCAAATCTTCCTGCCCGGCCCTGTGCAAGACACCAGAGGCAGAGTGACCAGGCCCAGCATCTTCCCTGGAAGAACTCTCTCACCGCTGGTAAACAGAGGGAAGTGCAGAGGTTGTGGCTGCTCAGCCTCATCGGGTGAGCTTCCCAAAGCCAACACCTACAGTACTGTTTGTGAATGACCCATGAGAAGGAGGGAAAGAAATGCCAGGTAGAGAAAGGACCAGGTACGAGGTCACAGAGACTGTCACTCAGGAGGAAGCGGTACCAGGGAAAGATACAGCAGGGTGCAAGGCCAGTATCACAAGGATTGTGGGCCCCACTCAGAGGCGTTATGTTTGCTGAGATCTGCGTTTGGACTTGAAGAATGAGTGTGAGGACTGCGGCAGTAACCTAAGCAAGAGGAAACTGACCCGCAGTAGGACCCAGGGAATGCAGGTGAAACACAAAAAGGAGACGGAATCAATTAGGAGCCGTATAGCTGACCTGTGCAATGTGCTAAACCTTGGGAAGCACATTCACATCTGAAAAGCCACTGAATTTTCAATAATGCTGTGGGCAAAATGGCACTGTAATTCAGATCTTAGGGAGGGGAGACATGAGGCAGAGACAGGAAGCAGTCTTCCCAGCCTGATCAAGAATGTCAATGGCACAGCAAGGATAGTGTCCAGGTCTTAGGATCAATGAACCACTCACTTCGAGGTGCAAAGCAAACTGACTGGGTGCTTCTTAAGAGATCTGTGGAGTGCTTTTTTTGTGTTTTTGTTTTTTTGCAGTAGCGGGGATCGAACTCTGAACCTTGCACTTGTGAGGTAGGCACGGTGCCTCTGAGTTAAATCCCTGGCCTGAAATCTATGTTTTTAAACTAAAAGCTGCAGGGGCTGGAGGGGTGACTCAGCAGAAGAGCACTTATTTAGCATGCACAAGTCCCCGGGTTTGATCCCTAGTACTGCAAATTAATTAATCAAAAACAACAGATCTAATCCAAGTAAAGATAAGCACAACTCTGTACAGCACTGTTTACAAAGCATGTTGCCGCTCCTTGTCCTGCAGGATGCACACACCCACGGTACTGTGGGCATCAGGATGTCATGTCAGTCCCTAGATGCTGAGGCTCCAGAGGTCAAGAAGGGACAGCTCTGGACTTGAGCTGAAATGGTGTCTATCTCCAGCTCTGCCACCTGCCTGCAGTGTCACTTTGGGCAAGCCCTGTCCACTCTGAGACTTAATTCCACAGAGTAAAGGGGATGGTCCAGCCGACTGTGCTGAGCCTGATCACTGGGCCCACGTGGGTGTGGGGCAGGGGTGTCTCATCCTCCCTCTGCGCTCTCCACAGCCTCTTCAGGGCTAGAAAAGCCTGCAAGCAAATGCAAAACAGACCCACTGTTGCCATGAGGCGGCTTTCTAGATCCTGCATGATGCTAAAAGCCAGAGTAAGAGATGCAAGCTCTCTCTTAAAAGCACTAAGAACTCTGAAAAGGCTTTTGAGCATCAGAGTGATAGTAATGTGGGCAGGATCAAATAGATGAAAGTGAGCAGACCAGAGGCAGCAAGGGTGGCTGGAAGTCCAAGTTCCACACACAGAAAACCAAGCTCCCTAGACAGAGATTATGCCAGTCTACCAGAGGTGACAAGTCAGTAGTCAGACGCCTTGGCTCCTATGGAAAGACTACTGCACAGGGGAGAAGTATCCTTTAGACGCTCACATGTCACACACAGATGCACAGAGCTGAGTTTCCAGAAAGTATGGAGAGGCAGAAGCCATACCATGTTGGTCTAGAGGAAGGGACCCCTTGAGTATGGACAGGACGTGGGCAGGCAAAGGAAGGGCTCCTTCCTGGACCTTTTTGGGCCCCTGTGCCAGCTGCTCCTCCAGCTTGCTCCGCAGTGTACTGTTGGTTTCGATGCTCCTTTCCAGCTGTCCTCGCAAAGCCTGGATCTCTGTCAGGAGGCTGTGCAGATCACTGCAAGGATTCTGTCCCTTTGAGCCTGCTCCCAGTGCCTCTGCTCTGGCCTCTGTGGACATGTGCAAAGGGAAGCCTTGACATCCTCCACAGGCAAAGGGGGCAACCACCACAGGAACTCAACAGTGTTTTCAAATCGCCATCATCACCCACCTCCTCCTCCCTAAGAACTAGGTACAATTTAAAATAACAACTCGACTTTAAAAACAAAAATATTGGCTGACTTAATTGCTGCTATTCCACGGGCTAAATAAGAGCTGGAAATTAATTTTCACTTCTGGCCATAAAAGCCTAGCAAATTGCACACCAAACCCTGAAATTATGTCTAGTAGTAATAAAATCTATTTGGGCTGGAATTATAGAATGAAAGGGGATGATTTTAAGAGCCACAGTATATTAAAAAGGCAAAACAGCAAGAATAAGAGAAGCAACTTGAGGAGAAATGAAAGCTGTGAGATGACCCCTTTCCAGATAAACTTTCAATAGAGAGAAACCATCTGGAAAATTAGTTTAAAAACCCCTCACTACACCTCACAATTGATTCTGAAACATTAGACCTTATAGTTGAGTCATTCCGATCTGGCATCTCTCTTGAAACAGGACCAGGGCCAACTACCATCCCAGAGCAATTACTACATGGTAGGAGCTCCGTCAATATTCACTGGACAAATGGGCAAAGAGAAGTATGACTAGCAGCAAAATTACCATGAAAGTTATCTCTGAATGCCAACTATATGCCAGGTACTGGCTTAGGATACTTAAATAAATGACCTAATTCAACTTTTATGACAACTCCACACAGTGGATGATAGCAGACATGTTTACAGAGGCAGGAACAGGCCCAAAGCATGAGGCAGTGTGCTAAAGCTGACACAGCTGGGATCCAAGGAGTGAGACTACAGGCCATAGCTGCCCTGCCACCTGATCCTACTCCTGCACCATTTCCCACTGCTGCTTGGGAAGCCCCTGCCCTCCCATGCCTGCTACCAGGGGTCCAGGCAAGCTCACAGCCCTGGACATGAAGAAGCTAGCCACAAAGCACCCCAGTACCTTGCTGTTGCCTCCTGTGCTCCTCATCCAGCTTCTCATACATCTTCAGCTCCACTCGGAGGGACTGGAGCAGCTTGTCATTCTGGGACAGCAGCTGCTGCTTCAACTTCACCTCCTCCTGCACCCTGAAATGGCCCCCAGCATGGGAGGAGAGGTTAATTCTACCCCAGGACAACTTACTTAGAACCCACAGGGCAGGTCTGTGTCACCTCGGCCAGAAGAGTGTGAACAAAATGGGACAAGCAGAGTTAAAACTTCCATCACAGCCTCCATTTCCCTAGTGCCCCCCTGCCTGGCCCTTGTATACATTCTCTGACCCTCCACACAGAGATGTGGGAGCAAAACTCAAAGTTCCATCCTTTACCCTGGAGAAGAGCCTAGACCTAAGCCCAAGACTGTCTGATGGCAAACACAGTGGCCCTGCTACGTCAATGCACGCCCTGGCAGCTGAGGGTGAAGGAGTGTGGCACTTGTGAGTGCTGAGTGAGGATCTGAAATCATGTGCAGCAAGACAGAGTCTAAGAGGGAAACTGCAAGATACCCAGCAGAATGGGCCTTTTAAAATCTATAACAGGTAATGTCATTCTTCTGCTCAGAATCTCCTAGCTCCTTCTGATGCCACTTAGAACAAATGCAAAGCGGCCCAATGATATGATTTAGCATCCAGCCACCTCTCTGCCCTTCGCCCCTACCACGGGGCACATGTGCCTTAGGTCAAAACAACCTCGCCAGGCGGGTGTGACAGTCATTTCTCTGGCACACCCAGGTAAGACACAGCAAGTCTCCGCCCGCCTTCTCCTCCTTCCTTGGATGATCTTTCTCCCCATCTTTCTGCTGACCAGAAAAAAGGCATGAGTGCTTTTGCCTTCTCTTGGCACTAGGGCAGGGCTGCTATGTTTCCTGGGCTTGTGGCAGGCAGATCGGGCCCCACCTGCTCAGCTCCTGGCGGCCGCTGTGGACCTCCTGGAGCAGCTGCTGGTTGTGTCTCTCCTTCTCTCTGATTTCCTTCTGCAGCCTTTCGTTCTCCCCCTTCACACTGGCATACTCTTGCTGAAGGTGCTCCAGACTTGCAGCCTTCCTGGAGACGGACTCTAGCAATTTTTCATTCTCCTTCTGTTTATCTACAAACACCAAAAAGCACCAGTGAGAAGGGTTACCATTTGTTTTTTCCAACCTTATTACGCAGATACAGCACTTCAGCTTGAGCACTCCAAGAATACAAAAAAGAATGAGATTTAATCTGGCATTTATGGTTTTGGCATTCCAATTATCTTATGCGTTTTGAGCAGATAAATCTGTCAACATCAAAGCTGTAGATTAAATGTCACTAGGATGAAATGGGCCTGTTTAATTTTCTATTAAATAATGGGCCTTGCAAACCTGGTTACTCTGGCTTCACAGAGCAAAGAGTGGGTAGAAACTACAGGCAGAGGGAGGAGGCAGGGCCACACTCCAGCAGTGCAGGCAGAGACCACAAGCTGCCCACGGCCTCCTGCCAGGTCAGCAGGGCTGTGTAGAAGGTGCCCAAGGACATCATCTCTCATGAGTAATAAGATACTCACAGAGGCACAGGAGAAAAGAGGCCCAGAGCAGGGTACTGGGGGTGGAGCAGAGCAGTAGGGTTCAAGGGTGGCTCCTGCGTGCAATGACTCTTTGACCTTGAGTGAGGTTTCTCACTCCTCCGTGCCTCAGTTTCCACACATACACTGTGTGGAGGTGAAGGTCTCAGCACACCTCATAAGCACAATGGGAGGCCCTGCCAGGAGCAGTGCCGGTGGCAGTAATAGCTGCCACGACCCTGCACTAACCACAGGGGCTGCATGAACACCTTCATGCATACCCCCTAGTTAACCCTCACACACCCTTCCGGGGTGGGAACTATGGTCCCCCTCATCTTCCAGACAGGAAACTGAGGATGGTGAGGTTAACACCTCCCTGTGGTCACACAGCCAGTAAGCGCAGAGCCAAGACTTGGGCCTGGGATTTCCGACTCCACCCTAACCATGACCCAAGAATTTCTAAGCCAGTGTGGACCCTAGACGGGCCCCAGGATGGCAGACCTGCCAAGATGCACATCATTCCTGCTGAGCCACAGCTGGCCCTAGGTCCTGTCTGCTCTCTTTTTGCCATTTAAAAGGCCACGGCTCTTCTGACCCTGAGAGGCCCTGGCTAATCTCCCCACCCGCTTCTAGACTCAGCTCATGGAGACCAGCTTTCCCAGCATCAGTGTCCTACAGCTCCCCGACCAGCCTGTTTCGTGGCCAGTCCTCATGCTCCCTGTTGTCTGGCTGTGTCTGCCATCATACCATAAGCCCCATGACAAAACAGACCAGGGCTCTTCCACTTCTGGCTAATCATCTACATAGGCCCCGACACAGAGCAGGAGCTAGGGAATGTTACTGAGTGAATGAATGACTCACAGAGACTCCAATTTGGGGGCTCCTAAGGACAAATCAGCATCAGTATTCTCTAGGGAAAGTGAGGTAAGCTGGTCCAAGTTCTAGCTCTACCATCTTCTAGTCCTGTGACTACACAGCAGTGCAGCTCTCCAGGCCTCCGCTTCTGACTTGTCAAAGAGCTAATAATATTTGATGCAAGGATCATTTTAAGCACTGAAAGATATCACAAGAGAAAGCTCTTCAGGAGCTCAGCTCCAAACAGAGGGAATTAAGAGAAGGGATTTTTGGAAGGAATACTGGATAAACCTCACTGGTGATAGGAAATCTCTGGTTGAGATTCTGGCAGTAATATATTTCCAGCCCTTCTCTCTTCCTCTGTGGACCAAGATGAATGCAAGCTGATTGGACGGGGGACGACTGACAAGTAGACACCGTGTCATTTACTGAGGGCTGGCGAGACCCTGCTGAGGGCTTTACTCCTTTAATTGTCACAACAGCCCTACGAGGTATTCCTTAACCTCCCCGAGCCCCATATTTCTCATCTGTAAAACAGGAGAGCCTCAAAAGGCTGCTGTGACAATTAGACAGAGTAAAGCTGTCACCGTGCCACAGGATTCAGACCTCACTTGGTCAGATTCCAACACTGGTATTCTTTGCCTGACACAGAGGCTTTGGGGCCCAGGCTGCAGGTGGCTCCTCTCGTTCTTACCTTGAGACCCCTTCACTAGCATCGTGTTGAGCTCCTGGTTCTGCTTCCTCAGGAAATATATTTCTGATGTTAGAGAAGTGTGCAGCTCTGAACCATACGCAAAAATGTTTGTAGAACCTACAAAAGCACATATAAACAGGATGGAACCTCCCAGAAAGCAATGTTAACAATGAGGAACTGAAACATGCAATGGAAATTGCTCTGTGGACTATGTAAGGTACTGCCAGAGCCTGAAGAGAATTGAGAGTGGGCCTAAATGAGGAGGCGAGAGACAAAGCAGAGACTTGGACCAGGGTGAGAGGGGTGGGAGACAGTCTCAACCTCTACAACCAGCTCCCTGCCCGGCCCCACCCCTGAGGTAACTCAGCGCCCTCCAGACCTTTCTCTCCTCTCTGTTCCGTGCCTCAGGTGGTGGTATCAGCACAATCCCTCACTCAGGCCATCACCTGAGACCAAGCTCACCAACCTAAGTCCTCCCTGCCCCACTGCCCAATCAGGCCATACTGACAGCTGATTCTTCCTCCAAAATTCCTTAGACCCTGGCCAACTCTTGTGTCCCTAAGGTTCAGGCTTTAACATCTTGCTCTAAACCTCCATCCCGGCTTCTGCCGATGGGGTTATCATCTATTCAAAAACACGTGATGACCCAAAAGACAATGGGACAAACTAAATGCAAGGCCCACACCTCTCAGTCTGGAATCTGGGGATCTCTACGGGTCAGCTCCAACTGTGGCAAACCCCACTCCATCTCCACTCACACCCTAGTGTCCGGGCCATGTCTGCCCAGGTGGTCACAGCCCTTCCTGACTCTGCAGACCGAGGCTCTCCCTTTGTGTAGAAAGCCCACCACCCTCTTCATCTGCCAGAGTCACACTCTTTCAATTCTTGCCTCAAATTCACTGTCTCTAAGTGCGTACTGTAAAGATCAGACTCTAAAGCTAGACAGACTAGGTTAGAGGTCACTTTCTCATCCATAAATACCTCACCAAGCTCTTGTCTGTCTGCTGAAATCTTATCCTTCCCCTAAATCCAGCTCAGATGACACCTCCTGCTGGACAGCTCCCCTCCTTCCTCCTCTCTGACTCTCTCTCATCCACAAAATTATAATGTTCACATTCCAGCTGCCTTCCCCACGAAGCGGGCCAAGATTTCCCTCCCAGCCTCCATACCAACTGAGAACACTCTCTACACAGCAACCAGACTGCCAGGCCCCTGTTCTCCTAGCTACCTTGCAGTAAGAACATGGTCAGGGGCCCATCAGGCCACCAAGACCCAAAAGGAAGCCTGCTGCAGGTCAGGCAAAGACTCTCCATCCAATGAAAACAGAAAGCTAGAAAGAAGCCCAGCCTTTTCCTCCCCATGTTTTGGACACTTCCTACAGAGGATGGAAGGCTGTAATTATCAGTCATCACAGACACCTGCCCCAATCCTTACTGTTACCGAGCTATAAAACCTGCCTCGTGACTGCTTGCCTCTGGAGTTCTTGTTATGTAAGAAAACATAAACCCTCTTGCTTATACCTGTTTTAGTCATATTTTTTTATCTGCACCTGAAAGCATCCTACTTTATACCAACTACTTGAAATGTTCAATCTCCTTGTAGATAAGGCATGGCCAATTCTCCCAGAAGTTCCCACTCTTACTCTACAGCACTGCCTTTTTCTCCTGCTAATGGTCCACTTATCAGAATGTCACATAATTTTTTTAATTCAAAAATGTCTCTCTCCACTATCTTCCTCCATTCTTTTCTATCAGAGACCCCAGAGTGAACTATGGCTCTGGTTTCTTAATAGCTGTAAGACCTCAGCATAGTCATATAACTTCACCAAGTTTGCATTCGCTCAATAAAAATTACCCACATGGTTAATGTTCCTGCTATGACCATTTGTAGTAATATCACCATTCACAATAGGACGGAGCCAAGAGAGGAACAAAGAATTATCTGAATGAACAGGAAAAATTCTACGGATGTCTACAATGATGAAAGCTATGGTAGTCACTTTTCAAAGGGACAATTAGGTCAAAGAATAGATCCTGACACGGTCCAATCCAGAGCATCAAGCACCAGCTGGCAAGGACTGGACCACTTTGATGCTAAGTGACCTCCTCTGAATGCCACCATCACCACAACTTCAAGTAACCGGTGATAAGCCGGAGGCTCAGATGCACAAGACGGCAGTTTCTAACAATATTCTACCTCAACATTATAGGGAGGAAGGCCTTTTTCAAACCTAGTCCCAAGATGAACACTTCACAGCAGGGAGAGGTGGAGCCGCTTTTATTTCTTTGTCTTTTCAGAAACTGTGACAACATGGTGAGAACAGCATGTCTTCCCACTAGCGTAAATACTTTATGAATGCCTTTTTTTGTAAACCTTCCCGTCAGAGAGAATTACTCTCCAGAGCAATTGCCTGCTTCATTGTAGCCGGTGGCCATTTGAGCCCCCAAATAATTCTATAATTGGATTTGCTAGGGAAAATGTAAAACAGAATGAATCTAATTCAGGCATTACCAAGAGTGAATGTGAAGGGCCCAGGCGTGTATTTCTGTCCCTTGTTTGATACAACTAATAACTCAGATTAATCAATTTCCTTGGAGGAGGGAGGAGGCGGGTGCAGGCTGGAGGTGAGGTGGGATGGGAGGGAGGGAGGGATGGAGGGGGAATGATGGAGACTGCTGTTTACCCTGCAAACTGAAACCCACACAGTCCTTTGGAAAGATGTCCTTATAAGCTGATGGCTACAGTGGCCTAAAGGGGAATGAGAAGTGGACTAAGAGCCCAAGGACTCCAGGGCCACCACCAAGTACTATCGATCTTTCCAGAACTCAGGAATTTCACTGCTAAAACTGGGATGACATTGTGGTCTCTGTCTACTGCAGTGTTAAACTGGTCACGTTACACAAAATAAAACTGAAAATACAACTGATAAAGATGATGAAAGCAACCGTTAATAAATGGTGAGGCACTGAACAAGTCCCTATTCATAACATTGCCTCATTTAGTCTCTAAATGACCACGGGAGGGGTGGGGTGAAATGGCCAGTCACAAAACAAGTAAGTACAAGAACTGGGATCCACACTCAGGCCCATCTAACACCCAGGCCAATTCAGGCCTTTCCCAGGGCCCCATGCTGCTCTCAGACACATGCTTCAAGGAATGAGGACACTTTCTGGAGCAATAGGGACAGACGTCCAAGATACACTGTCTAGTAAAAATGAGCCAGAATAGTGGATACAGAGTCTGCTACCATTAGGCAAGACAGAGGGAAAATAAGAAGATACACTGGAAAAAAAAAAGATATACTGGTATTTTCACTTTTAAAATAATCACTGTAAGGATACAGAAAAAACAACAAAAGCTGGGAGGAGAGAAAGGAGGGCAGGGATAATATGTAAAGTATGAAAGTTTTAATTTTTGAACTATGTGAATGTCTTCTTGTAGGAAAAATATGTTTTGTTTTCATGGAGGATCATTCCATTTAGAGGTAACTGTGGTTATTAGGAATGCTGGTGCCCTTTGGTTTGGCATGTGAGATTTACCAGACTGCTAAATCGTGACGACTTTTATAATCCATTTTTGACACAAAGACAAATACGGCTTTGTGCTATTCTAAAGTACCTATTTATAGCTTTACAGCCTCCAAAATCCAATGAGGAGCCAAGCACAATCCAGGATGCCAGAGGCTGGCAGACTTCAGGAATGATGTAGAAATTAACATTTATCAAGCACCTGTGTTGGCCACAGACTGCTTATTCAGGCAAAAGTGTCACAGTGAAGCTCTCATGGGCTTGCAAGGCGCTATGGGAGGGTCGTTCCTTACCTTGATCAAATTCAGACCCTTGCCGTTCTAGCTGTTTCCGTAGCTTCTCATTTGTTTTAATAGATTCTTCTAAACGTTTTCTTAAAGTTCGAATTTCCTGAATGTGTTCCATTAGCAAATCTACAGGAAGGAAGGACATTTTTAATTTAAAGTCTGAAGCCCTCAACAAATTGAATAATTTATAGATTATGCAGGGATCTTGAAATTCCAAACAGCACTGGATGTATTAAGATAGTCAGCAACTGGCAGTTCTTTCCTAGGCTGGGGGAGGCCAAGCTTCTTCCCACAGCCTGCAGACAGAGCTCTGTAACGATTCTCTGCAGCCTTCCATGAGGAAGCTATTTTACATCACAGGGAAAAATTATATTCCATACAATTTTAATGCTAACTCTAATGTAGCCTTTTATTCTTCTCAATATCAAATATTAATTTAAAATCTTCCTCATGGTGAAACTAACAGATCACTTTCAAGTCTGCCTGAATTGCCTGAGAGTTGATTAAACTGCCTCTATAATGAATTCGGATATTTTCAAGACTAATTTTTTGAAGAGAATATTTTATCCGTTTGTCACCTACTAATTCAAGTCTTAAAAATAAAGCAAAACAATGCTAGCAGGAATGGCAGTAAGAAGGGTGATCTCAAGAGTACATCCTATTAGCCTGAGTGTAGATGCATACGACCTTTTGGGGCTGTTTATATTACTAGCCTTAGGAAAGTTCTTTTCCAATGTCTTTTACCAAATAATTCTACTTCTAGGACTCTATTTAAAGAGACCACTAGTGATATTGACAAGTATTTGCCAGAAAGCAAGAAAATGTTAATCTCAGCACTCCGTGTTACAGCAAAAACTAAAGTAACTCAAAATTGTTAAACTGTAGCATATCCATTCTGATGCAGTATTACATAACTACTAAAATTATGCTATGAAAACTATATCGTACCATGGGAAAATTATGTTATTACGTTAAATTTTAAGGTAGTTACAAAATTCGTTATTCAACACAATATGTAAGAAGTTGCACAGGCAGGAAAGACAAGTATACAAAAGAAGGAAATACACATAATACAGCAGTTAATATCAGGGTGATAGACGTTAGACTTTTCAAAATTCTATATTACACTTTCATATAATACTTAATAATAGACACAAATTTTAAATTTCCTAAAATGAGCATGTATTATTTTTTCATCCTCTGTTGCATCTCCCTGTAACAAAGAAAAAGGCAAGTAGTTTCAATCCAGAGGTAGCTTTCTAGAGTCAGTGTTTAAAACATAATCACATTAAGTATCCAAAGGCAAAACTAATGCCTCTAATTCATCAATTAGGGTGTACTCAGTATGTCTCAGTAATGTTTGTTTTAAAACATTATACTAATGTTATAACCCAGTTTTAATTCCTCCAAAATGGCTTTCATTTAAAAGTAGCACAATGTTACACATCTTTTCCTAATTAAATAGTAATTTTGCCATGAATTTGAATGTTTATGAGATGACTTAATTCCCAGACCTTCAGCTATCTCCTGTTAGTGCCAAAAGTGTGGCAAGTCACTGGTGGAGCACACTGCACGCTGCAGCACAGCACTGAAGGCTCCGCGGTCACCCAGGCTTGGCACACTGTACCTGTGCCCACTTCACTGCCCTGACATCTCCCAGCAGCTAGGCCAGAGTTGGTCTGCAACTGACCAGTGTTCACCGCAACCAATCTTGCTGGTTTACACATCACAAACTGCCGCCTTTGAGGACACAAATGTTCTGTAGTCATCGAGAGAGACACTTTCTGCTGTGTCTTTGGTGAGGAGCTGGAGTTATCACTCAGGCTAGAAGAATCATGTCAGGCAAACTGAATGCCGCTTATTAATTATGCAGCCATAGTGAGGGGAAGGAAACATAATACTGTACCAGCCTTTACCAATAGAGAGAGAAATGCCTGTCTCTCTTTCAATAAACCCCTCTGATAAATGCACTCTTTAAAACCATAATCCTATAAGAAGCAATCAGCAGGCATGTGCACTCACACACATGCACGCGCGCACACACACACACACACACACACACACACACATACACACAGTGTGTATCTTTCAGCTAGTAACTCCAATTTAGAGACTCCATCTTAAGAACATGACCCCAAGTAAGGAAAAAGCTTCATGTTCAAAGATACTCCCTGCAGCACTGTTTACAAATGAGAATTCTGGAAATGACTTTAATGTTCAGCGACAGGGGAATATAAGGAAAACTGCAGTTTAGCCACTCGGTGGACTGTCCTAAAGCCACTAAAAATGACATTATCTAACACGTCAGGAAGCTTGTGGTAGGATGTTAAATGAGGAAAGAAAATACTAACCAATCTCCCCACACAGATTATAAATTTGACGAACAATGCAGAGAATCTGAAAAACAGATGCAGAGAATAAAAGGTTAAGAGAAACAAAGGAAGAAAAGATAATGGTGGGTATATCAGGGTGGCTGCACAGAGCACCATTCCCATTCAGGGCAGAGAGAGCCAAGGTCCTGGGTTCCTAGAGGAAGAGACGAAGATGCCTGAACAGCTCTACATCAGAAATAAAAGGAGGCTGAGGAGGTGGACAGAGTGAAGGAATAAAAAGAGGGCAGGCAAGAGGAAGAGGAGGACCCTGCCTGACACCGTACAGGGTCCCGCTCTGAAGGAGCGCCCTCCAACCTGGGGCAAAAGCTCCATTTAGGTCTCAAGGACATACTGGGTGAGCTCTCCTCATGCACTTTTATCTATTGCTTTAAAAAGGCTTCCAATTTTTTGAAAATCATAACCTATATGATCAAGCGTCAACAGGGGCAGGGGGCCATGTCCACTCAGTGCTGTACAGTCCACACTGCACGCTGTGAAAAGAGGACTTCACGAGAGATCCAGACTCTAACCTACTGAAGGCCTACAAACTACAGACCGAGGCAGGTGTTGCCGGACATGGCTGTGCTATCCAAGTACACTGCCTGCGGCCGCCTATGTGCTGTGACAGCAACAGCAATGTAGGCTGCACACCTTGCAAAGCCTAGAATATTCACTATCTGTGCCTTTATAAGAAGAGTTTGCTGGGCCAGGGAATTAGCTCAGTGGTTCGGTGGCCTGCCTTGCAAGCGCAAGGACCCGAGTTGGATCCCCGGTATCAAAAAAGAAAACAAGAGTTTGCTGATCCTTAGTCTATCTGGTCTGGCCTAGTCAATCCCTTGACTCTTTGAAATATACTGAATTACAAACACTAAGCCCTACATTTTACCCTAGCAGGAAGGAATCAAGATTCCAAATGCAGCTGGGTGTGGTGGTGCACACCTGTAATCCCAGCACTAGGGAGGCTGAGGCAGGACGACTGCCACAAATTTGAGGTCAGCCTGGGCCTCATCATGAGTTCAAGGCTAGCACAAACTGCACAGTGAGACCCTGTCTCAAAAAGACCCCCCCCAAATAAACAAACAACCCAATCAACCAACAAAACAACAACAACAAAAAAAGATTCCAAAAACAGAAAAGGTGATGGAATGGGGGAGCACTGGGGCAGGTGCCTGGGAGCACAAGGGTGTTATGGTCTGAATGTCGATGTCTCCAAAGTCAGTATCTTGGAGCCTTTAGCACAGTGTGATGGGGTGAGGAGGTGCCTCACGAGGATGGAATGTTCCTGAACGGGACAGCGACCTCTGCCCTTGTAATACACTCCAGAGAGCTCTCTTACCCACTTTCTTCCAGGTGAGGAGACAGTGAGAAGACAGCAGCCTCTGACCTGGAAGGAGACCCTCACCAGGACCAAACTGAGCTGCCTAGCACCTTGATCTTGGACTCCCAACCTCCAGAACTGTGAAAAAGCAAATGTCTGCCCTTCATAAGCCATTTAACCTACTCTAGTAGCCTGAATGAACAAGGGTGTGGCCACGTGCCAAGGGCCACACTAAGAGAAACAAAGCAGAAGAGAAATCGCAAACTTGTACTTAGACCGAATAATCAGAAGAGGAGGCTGAGTGCTCTTGGAAATCTACAAATCAAAGCAGAAGTGTCTTCCAACTAATGCTGACTTAGGGGTGAGAGACACAAAAGGAAATGAACCAAGCTTGCACTGATACACAAGTGCAGTTTTCCAACCTATCCCTGCAAGAACAGCATCATTTAAAACACAAAAATGGCTTCACCCCAACCCACACTTTCACCACCGTGACTTTCTCCAGGGATAGAGATGTCATTCCATGCTCCGCTGTGGCCTCCCGCACCTTCATCTGGGAAAGGCCCCACACTGTTTATCCAGACAAGGCAGCAGGCTAGAATTTAAAACTGGTCATAGCATGATGCCTATAAAGGCTGAGCTTACCTTGAGAAAAATGGTTCATCCCCATTTCCACCTTCTCAGTCGCACCGTCTTGCTGCTGGTCTCGGGAGAGGGAGGACTTCTCAGATATTTCATCATCAGACAACACGTGAGAGGCAGAAGGCTCAGGAGATTCAGGCAGAATATGCTGGTAGGTTAAGTTGTCTTCTTCAATCCTTAACCATGACGATTGAAAAATATGTCATTTCTCACACTAAGATCTCAAGCGAGGGCCACAATGTCATGATTCTCAAGGTTACTTTCCCTGTGTAGCCACCCTGTGTTTGCAACTTAGCTCTCTCATTTCCCTACAGTGCCAAACAATGACATTTAAAAACTAAAAACAAACAGAGCTGCACAGATTTTAGTTTGGATGCAAGAGAGAAGGCGAAGTGAGGGGACTGTGCCTGCCCCATGGTCTGGCTCCTAAGGGAACCACCCAAGAGAGGGCACAGTCAGCTGCAGCCATTTACCAAATGCCTGCTCTAGACCAGACAGCCTGGAGCTTACTGGGTCCCAACAGATACCCTCATAGGAAGAGCGCGATGCTTCCTCTTAAGAGTTGGACAAACTGAGGCGTATCATAAATCAGCCCACTGTCTCAGCTCGTAAGATACACCACTCAGATTTCAACCAGGCACATCTGACTCCAAGGCCCCGGAAAGATGTGTGAGTCTGGGCCAAAGCCATGAAATGGTCTTATAGAATTAAAAATCTCAAAGCCTCATGGTCGCTAAGCAGTTCCCAACAGTGTCACTCTAGCAATCATGCGGTTATTAACCTGTATTTCCCGAGGACCACCTAAGCCATGAAGAAAAACAATCCAAATGCTGTGATTTGCCCACATGAATCTCCATTATAGATAAGCTCCTTAATTTAAGCTCTTTTCTCTCCTACTTTTTCCTATCACTTCTTGTCAGTGGCCACAGTCTCATTATTCATGAGCTCAGACAAGAGCAAAGGACTACAAAGCTGCAACACATTCATTAACAGGTAAACATCAGATGCAACTTTGCCCAGACAGTGTGATGGATGCATAGGCTTGCTGCTGCTTGCAAAAGTGCCAAGGACACTCATTCCATTAGCTTAGGAGTGGCCCCTTGAGTGCTAAATCTACAGCTGAAAAAGGCAGAAGAAAAAGAAAAGAAACAAGTCTTTTAGAAAGAGAAAGGAGAGACATTGGTTGAGGAGGGCTAAAAGCAGTTCAATGCCTTCCTCCAATCCATTCTCCAGATTCAGTAGTCTTCCAGGGGCTAGGGCTGAGGTTCGGTGATATAGCACTTGCCTTAGCAAGAACAACATGGATTCAAGCCCCAGAACCACCAAAAGAAAAAAATAGTCTTCCAAATGTCTAGCCCTAGCTTCCGCTCCTTCAAAGACTCCTTCGTCCTGTAGAATAGTGCTGGGACTCTTTAACACAGCATTTGAGAACCAGCCCAATGGGCCCAACAGGGCTCTCTGGCCTCACTGATCCAAAGGGCCATGTTTCCCTTGCCACCAGCATGGGCCCGTTATACTCATTCTTTCTACTTAAGCTAAGGCTGCTCTTACTTGGAGAGCCCCTCCTTGCCCTCTTCACAACCTGACAGTGGGTATGATCCATCAGTACAGTATAAGGGTAGAAACAGTGGGAGGGATCTTTGAGATACTACAGCAGAAGAAGAAATACTCCTTCTAAGTTCATAGAAGCCTTGATTAAAATATCCTCCAGTGAACTGTGATACCTTCCTGCCTGTTCAATGCAATGCTGCTGATAGCCTTCAGGATGCTAGTAATTTTTTAAGTATTCTGTATCCAAAAATGATCTCCATTTCTTTATTTTGCCCCTAGGATCCCAAAGGGCCACATCCCTAAAGAAAAGGGATGTACCCCCGCAGCAGTACTATGACAGCCCTCCGAGCCTTTAACAAGTCAATGATGGTAAGACCCAGAAATTTTCAGTTGGTCATGGAGGCAGGCTGAGAGAGCATACAATCATGTGCTGTCTTTGCCCTCAAAAGATGACACAGGATAACCGTAAGGGCACAAACACTGGAGTATGATAGATTCAAGGTCAAGTCCTAGCTCTGCCTCTCAATGTGTGCAACTCTGACCCATAGGCTCCTAATCCTACATGGAAATAAAAATGCTCACCTTATAGGGTCAGAAATAATAAATGTGAAACACTTAAGGCAGCAGCTGATATATACCAATACCCAGTTAGGTCCTTTCCTCCTTTGAGGAGTCTGGGAGTGGAAAGATGAATGCAGAAAGTGTTACAACACTGCATAAGAGGTGTTTAATGTAATTAGGGGCCAGTGCTTCAATGAGAGTAACAGACCCCAGGACACAGGGAAAAAGAAGGGCACTGGGGATTGCCACACTCATTTCTCCTCCAAAGGACTCTGGGAGTGACTTTCACACTACAAAAGGAGGGAGGTCAAGTGTGCAGCCTGGTCAAGCCATGGCCAGAACAATAGAGGCAGGTAAGATGAAGTACAGGGAACACTGTGAAAGGAAAAAGGAGTGAGCAGAGGGCAGGAAGAGGGAAGATGGGCCAGCCTGAGAAGGGCTCAATGCCAGGTTAATAAATCTAGAATTTTTACCCTGCAGGGACCCAGAAGCCAAGAGAAGGAATACGTCATATGATTCAAACCACCCAACAAATCCCACACGTCACCTGAATGGACACACAGTGTGAACTCTTGGTTTTGTGAGACCACTGTCATTTTTATAGGTGTTTGCATCTCATTTACAAGAAGCAGAAAACATATAGAATGGGAGGGAACAACCAGAACATGTTTTTTAATCTTGCAGGAAACCAAAACCAGACAATCCTCTTAATAAGTGCTACACACTTACCTCTCTACTGGTTCATTCTGGAGACTCAGTTCCATTCCAGCTGGTTTTCCTGGAAGCAAAAATAACATGAAGAAAGAAGGAAAATATTTTTAAGTGTTCCCTACCAATTTCTTGCCCATATATTTGCAGGGGCACTGTTCCATTTATTTAAATACTCCTTACAACAATTCCGTATATTCAAAGTGGGGCTACCAGGAGTACAGTTCAGACAACAGGCTCCTGCTTTAGCACTGCTCTGGCACTAGTGCCAGGTGATGCCCTGAATCAGAAAGACAATCACCAAGGCATGGCTGGGGGCAGTTCCTTTTTCTTCTCTAAAAGTCTGATATTAAAAGAATATATGCTCAGTGTAGGAAAAGGGCAAAGTAATCAAAAAAGCTCCCCGCTGCAGACACGTGACTCCACTGCTTTTCCTTATTTCATTCATGCTCCTGGGCAGTAATGATGCTGCAGTTTCTTAATTTCTTTCCGTCTGTATTGTATCCTAAGCATTCCTTTTACTGAATTTGCTTTAGAGACCCAAGTTTTTTAATATCCACACTAATATTCCATGGTAGGCACACATGTGCCAGTTTTTGCCAGCTCCTTAATATAATATTTAGATCATCTCCAAATTTTCATTTAATAAATAAATAAAATAAACATCTTTGTGCGTACAGCTTTATCTGCATTTAAATTATTTTCTTAGGATAAACTCTCACAACTAGGATTACTAGGAAAAGAAGCATTTGAATGCAGCTGGAAAAAAGAACACTGTCTACAGGGGAAAGGACTTAAAAAAAAAACAACAAAAGAAAATAAACTAAAGCTCAGGATGTTGTTAGGCAAAAGACGCTCTGCTCGATCCCTGCATGTCATCCCTCACTGTTTGAAAGGAAGCATGAGCCCAGATTTCAAAGAGGCTAACAACTTTATTTTAAAAATACTTCAGAACTTTGGAAATTGCAGACCAGGATGAGCTCTTTGAAGAAACTGACACATGGCTAAAGAAGAGAAAAACAAAACAAAACACTTCTATAGCTATACTTGAAAAATGAGACTATAATTAAACTGCACCCACACATACAATTTTTAAAACTACTCCTAAAAGGAAAATTTCTCAAACACCACGGTGCAGGAAAAGAGTTTGCATGTTTGCTTTCTGTCTGTGGTTCCCGCCTACAACTAGCAGAGTGGCTGGCTCTGGTAACCAGGCCCTCTTCAAGCCACGAGCCAGCCACTTGGGCACCAAAAGCACATACACAACATAACAAGGGCTTGACAGCCACCTTCCACTGCAGGGCACTGCCACCACCAGGAAGGAATCAAACGAGGCCAAGTAACCAGGCACCAGGCCAAGTGTGGTTTATGAATATCCACTCTTCCCTTTCGGCCCCATAAAAACCCCAGGCACACAGTGTTAGCATTTCCATTTCCCAGAGAAGTGGAATCCTAGGAGGTTTACCATTTCAACCCTCTATCCAGGCTCACTCTCACTACACCACACTTTACAGATCAACAAGGGAGGCAGAGGTATCCTCAGAGCCAGTGTGATCACAAATCTATGCCTTTAATCTCTAGGTCAGTCACATCCTGGCCAAAATGACGTGGAGACAGTGTGGTGTCCTGGAAGGAGGCAGAGGGGGGCAGACCTCTACCACAGAGAAAGCTCTCCGGGCCTCCATGCTTCTGTCCTCTGCATTCCTTCTCCAGAAATCCATGTCTGATTGGTCAGATTGCAAGGCCACAATAAAAAGTCCCAGTCCAGGGACAACTGTCTGCTAAAAGAACAACTCAGTTGGCAATGTTAACGCTTGCACCAAGGCTACTCAATTGATGCTGAGATTCTGACCCCACAGGCCCTGAGGATGGGCCATCTGCCCCAGCCCTCCCTCCAAAGAGCCCAAGCGTCATCTGTGTACTATCAGGCAGAAGCCAGGCCACAGCCGCTTCACATATACTCCCATTCTCCAGGGGAACATCTCCCTTGGGAACTTCACAGGGTGGTGCCCTTGGCTCTGGGCAGGCATTAAACATGCTAAGTCTCCTGACCATAAAACCAATTTAAAACCGTCGAAGACCTCTCCTCCATTCCTCACAAAAGCCATGACCACAGAAAGAAGGGCCCTCATGCCACCAGCGGCACAGGATTTCCTTTTTTCAAATAAAAGATCCATTGGATAACTGGTAATAACTCAACAGCAATTTTATTCCACCAGCTCCCCTATCACACAGAGTTCTTTAAAAACTAAATGACAAATGGTTATGGTGGGCTTTGTGGGGAGATCATAACAACTGATGCGTTGACTTTTTCAGTGGAAACTGCCTTCACACAGGTGACAGGGGAACACATGTTGGGTTTAGGGTGTGTGTCATGAAAGGGCTGCTCCCATCTCTCAGACAAATCCTGTTGCTACACCTAAAAGCCACATAGCTTGTGGCAGTGGGCAGACTTCAATTTCTCAAATAAAAAACATGTAGCTGTCCCCTTCATATGTAAGCATAAGACTATTATACAAGACGGAATTGTGACCGGTTGACCTACCTTCAGACTTCTCTCTACACAGACCCATCCTAGACATACTCTGCTGCCACGTAAGACGCCCGTCTAAAACAATACTCCTCAGCTCAGCACCCATCAGTCACACAGAGCACAGTTCCAGTGCCACAGCTGGCATCTCCAGCAGAACCTCAATGTTGCTCCCTCTCCTCACGAGGAATGGAAGTGAACATTCAGTGACCCCTTGGATGACCGGGTTAGACAATGACAATCCACAGATGAATAAGGAGCCATCCTGCCCTCAACGAGTTCACACCACAGTGGGGACAGTGGGCCCAAAAGACAAGTATATGACAATGCTGGGACAAGGGGCAGTGGGGTGACTACAGAAGGCCAGCCTGGGTCATCGGGGAAAATGTAGAGAAGGTGAAGCAAAGCTATGATTTCAAGTAGGAAGAATGCTTTATAAAGGGAAAATGGTAAGGGGCACCGGGGAGGGCAGATTCCAGGGGTGATTAGGAGTCAAAATCTTCCATCTGATCTGAAAGCCTGGATCATTATGCCAATCATATCCTGTCTACCATGTCATCATGGTGTCACTGCTCAAGCTCGTCCCATTTGCTGAGGACACCAGCCAGACACTTTAAATAATCTCATTCAATCTTTATAAGCAACTCAGTCGAAGTAGTGCTACTACCTCTACAGAGGTAGAATAATCCTCAAAGGGGCAAATGTTCTATAAAGCTGGAGTTTAAACTCAAATATTTGACTCCAAAAGTCCTTTTCTTTTTACCCCAAACCCTTTTGATGGCCTCCTTCACAGGATCACACATGACTATCATGTGTGAGCTAAAAACAACCCATAGCAAAGAAAAGGAACCAGAGTCTGCTTCCACTTGAGGTGATCAAAGAAACGTCCCAGATTGGCAAAATCTCTGTAAGTGCAGGAGGACCACTTTTACAGAAGGGGACTGGGACTGGGTGAACATTCACGGAGGTGGGGAATCCAAGGCCCAGCCACAGAAACATTTGACTATGCAACCTGATGGGAGAGTGAGAAGATAATATGGTGGGTAGGAGGGCAGGCTGTGGAAGCAAACTACCTGGGCTAAAATTCAGATTCTGCTACTTCCTGTGTGATTTTGAATAAGTTCATGAATCTCTCTGCTCCTATTAAATGAGAATAATTCATAATAGTTCCCTGTGGACTGAGAACAATGCCTAGCACACAGCAAACAGTAAGACCAGCGTTCCTCATTTTCTAGTTGTTTTCTCCATCATCCTCATCAGCGGAAGGAAGAAGCCAAGAAAAGGCAGACTGTGAAAGGCCTTGAGAGGAAAAAAATGCTTTGGGTTCATCCCTGTCAGCAAAGGAGGGCTAAGGCCAGAGATCCCGGCAGTTGTCTTCTGTTCCTGTGGCTAAACACTGGCACCTATGGTAAACTCACTGAGGAAGCTTCCCGTAACCTTCCTTGTACCATTCCCATGCCTTAGTCAAAATACTCTGAAGACACAATATTGTCTTCCACATTACATTTACTCGACTGGTCTAGGGAGGCACCATAAACCAGCGTATGGTTCCTAATCTACAATGGGTCCCAGCCTTTTTGGAGAATCTAAGGTTGAAGTCTCACCACTGAAATATGTACATAGCCACAAAATGCTTCAGAGTTCCGGGCCTCTAGTGAATCCCTAGTTCAGTAGAGCTAAGTATCCCTACTTCTTACAACCACATTATCATTTTATTTCTTAGGTTCTACCAATTAAATATTATGAAAGAAATAGCAAGGACAGGCACAAAGATTCCAGTATAAACTTTGTATAACCGCCCCAACCTGGATTCCTAAGTATCCACCTAATGGGCAGTGGTTAAACAAATTATAGTAGATTTATACAGAAGATGGCTCTGCGGCCACTAATACAATGTATATTAATGTGATCTATAACAGAACAAAGAGAGAGTCTGCAAACAGTCCCCTTTCTAAAAGCAATGAACATATGTATTTTAAAGGTCTGGGCATGTGAGGTCCAGGGAAACTAACACAATTTTAGGAGTATTTGCTTATGTTATTCCACAGTGAGCATAATATTTTGTACTGATTTCAGATGGTCGATATTTAAATTTTTAAGAACTCATGCCATGCAACTGCCACAAATATAAAACTACTTCATTACAAGCTTGTTTCATAACTCAGGAGGCAGAGCCCTTAGATGGCACCCAACAAAGATCCAGCTCTGCATTCTATTTTCTTCTCTAAGCTGAGGTGAAGTTCCTCAGACTTTATGTCATTTGTAGAAGAAAACAAAGTTCTAGGGTTGTGTTGTCTGCTAAGCCTGAAATGCTCCAGCCTTCAGAATCCACAGGGAGCAAGAGGGGGGCTCTCCCGGGGTTTGGCAAAGTTGATGCCTGAGAAGTCAGCCAAAGGGTAGCTGGATGGGGGTGGGAGGCAGCCTATGCCAAAGGTGCTCTCCCTGTAGCCACCCACTGCCACTGGCCAGGGCTACGGGGAGGAAAGAAAGCAAGGAAACGCCCTGGACCTAGAAGATGCAGCTTTATCAGTCACCCAATTATCTCTTCACTAACAAAATGAAAACTAGCCTATGTGTCTTGACCAGAAGACAAAATATTCTTATAAAGCTGAGAAAAGTCAAGCACTCTCAAACCCTGCACCTTAAAGATCCTTGGGAAAACAGTACCAAGAAAGTTGTCAAGAACAGGTCTTCAGGGAAAAGCAGGGACTGGGCCCAGATGGGTCACCTATCCTACAGTCTCAACTGGAATGAAAATGAGCATACGTGGAGCCTCCTGGACCATCTGTCCTGTACATACAAAGAAAGCGAACAGAGTCAAAGTCTGGTTTGACCCCTTCTCCTGGGCCTATAAGCAACATGATCTCCTCATTTAAGGCTAAGAACTTCGTACTTGAAGGTTACCACGTGTTCAGTGCTGAGCCAAGGCTTCAGAGCTGTTATTTAATTCGACCTGTAGCAGCTCTGTGATTTAGGTATTAGAATGCTTAGCTTACGGGTAAAGAAACTGAGGCGAGGAATGAGGTTTCAGAAGGTACGCAGCTTACAGGTGGGGAGCCAGACCCCTAATCCACCAGCCCCACTCCGGAGCTACACTCTTCACTGACAGACCACATGTTTTGATATGCAGGGTATCATTCCTGGACCCCAGTTTCATCAACACTAAAGCTGGGTTAATACCGCGCACTTCCAAGATCATTGTAAAGTTTCAATCAAAGAACATATATGAGCCCAAGAGGAATACAAGGAGATCTAACAGAAAGAGATTTTTGCCCGGAAATCTGATTTGAAATCCCAGCTCTCCCATTCATTCCATAAATGATCACAGATGAGCTGCTTCCTCTCAGTGGGCGCACACTCCCCACTATAAATGGATTCAGGTATTAACTCACTCATTTATTCAGTGTCTCAAACAACACACATCGAGTGATGACGACGTTCAGACACTGTTTATGTCCTAGTGCTACAGCAGTGAACATTTCATCTAGCAGGGGAGGCAGGGCACCAAGCAGGTAGTGCTGTGCAGGTAGAGTGGGCTGAGGAGGGGGAACCCGAGCAGGAGGCGGGTCGGGGGAGACGTCAGCAATGGGGCAGAGGCCCTTGCTCTTTCACAGTTAGCAAACAGGAACTCCCAACAAGGGGACAATGAGAAAAGGCTTGAAGAGATGAGGGAGGGGCACCAGAGAGAAGAAAGTGCAAAGGCTGGAAGAAAGAGCAGAGGGAAAACTTCACTGTTTTTCATACTCAAATAATAAAATTAAATTATATCAACAAGGACATAGGATTAAAATTAATATTAAATTGAACACAGGTATAGGCAAACGAAACTTGTATTTTAAATAAATAATGTAACAACACTATGGAAAGAATGAAACCAAGTATCTTTTAAAATCAATACCTAACCACATACCATTAGCCTAAAAACAAAAAGAACTGCAAACCAATGTGTGAAGTCTTCTAGTACGTCTTTCACAGTGGTATGGTTGGTGCAATTCTGGAGCCATTTGCATGTATCATGGACATGAGCAAAGCAGAGCTCTTACTGCTGGGGCAGCAGAGAAAATTTACAAATATGGAGGTGGGGAAGATAAGAGTTTGGCTAAGAATTATTAGGTAGTAACAACTGTAACGATTCTCTGAAGTAAACTTTATATTTACACAATACTAATTCTGCTTGTTAAAAGGCCTAGAAACAATGACACCTCCATGGCAATGAACTCAACCAGCATAGAGTCTTAGTTTTTAAAAAGCATTCCCCATTAAAAGGAACCGAGGCTGCTCCGAAAAATGGTTAGCTGAGAGAAATGGGACAGTATTAGAGGAGCCTGGGACATCTTTGTTCTTCTGGAAAGTAAGGAAGCGCTCCTGAAAACAACAAAAGCAGGAACATATCAAAAGGATCTTCAACTCACCAAACCAATCTACTGGCCTACACTAGTAAACAACAAATATTTAAATAAAAGGAGTTTAATGTAGAATGCATCCTTCTGGTGGCTGTCACCTAATAATAAAGGAAGAAGGAGAAGGTGTTAGAAAAAGAATCCCCATGTAGCCACCACCACAGCAACCCTTGACTCTAGCAAGAATCATCGATAGATGCTAAAATGCCTGGGGTAAAAGTTCAAAGAGGAATGGACTCTTTACAGAGTTACAAAGTGTTCCCATCAATTATTTATTTGTTGTACAGGGAAATGTTATAACTTACAGTGGAGAAACCTGACAGATGGCACTAAAGTCTATCAAAGTTAATATCACCAAAACTGAGAAAACTCATATTCTGGGCCTTCTAAATGTGGCATCATGAGAACAAAACATCACTCATGGAGCCTTCTTGCCTGAAGTAAATAAATCTCAGCTAGTCAGGAATCTCAACATGAGTAGACAACAGATAACCCAAAACTGTGGGACTGGCCTGAACTCCTCAAGTATTTGAGTGTCATCAAAATAAAAATGGTGAGGAAGGACTCCAGATTAAGAGAACAAAGAGAAATGACAGCTAAAGACAACAGGGCAGGGGAAGGCCGGCAGTGCATCTAGCTCAATGGCAGAGGGTCTGCTTAGCATGTGCAAGGTACTGGGTTTAATCCCAACTCGGAAAAGTGACATGGGGCAAGATTATGAATCAGGACCAGGGATAAAACTGTCATAAACACCACTGAATCAACTATAAAAATCTGAATACAGACTCTATATTAGATAACAGTATATGAGTTTATCCTATTCTGACTTTGATAATTATGCATGAGAATGTCGTTGGCCTGAAAAACACCCTGGAGTAGCTTGAGGGAAAGGGATATGACATGGCCGATACACCCTCAGAGATTCAGAAACATAGAATATGTGTGGAGAGACAAAAGAATAAACAAATGAGGCAAAAGGTTAACAACTGATGAAGCTAGACAAAGGGTAAAAGGGAATTCTTTATTATAGTCTTGGAAAAAATCATTTAAAAGTTATGTAATAACATTATTAAAATAAGGGCAGAGATTTAGTTCAGTGGTTCTGCCACCTGCCTTGTAAGCTCAAGGACCTGAGTTCAATCCCCAGTACCAAACAAGAAAAAAAAAAGTAATATTATTAAAATAATAGCACAAGCCTAGTGCGCTGGCATGCACCTACAGTTCCAGCTACTCAGGAGGCTGGGGCAGGCAGACTGCTTGAGCCCAGAAGTCTGAGACAGCCTGGGCAACAAAGCAACACATTGTCTCAAAAGAAAGGAAAGATACAGGGGGTGTGCCTAACATATAGCTAAGATTTTAAGATTTCACTTCATATTTTCTCTAGTCACTCCTGATCTCTGAATGTATTTTATCTGTTATGTTTTGTATGGTTGGTTTTTTTTTTGGGGGGGTGGGGGCTAATATTTAAAACCCATGAGCATACACATACACACACACACACACACACACACACACTCACACACACTCACACACACACACACACACACACCCTCTTTTCTAGATATTTCAGAATGGGCAACCACTCAGCCAGTGCTGAGGGCAGCACCCATGCAATTCACCAGCCCAGCCCCTGAGACATCTCAACTGGACACAGCCTTGGCACAGTGCAGACCAGAAGCCACAAGAAGTTGGACCTGGCCAGTGCAGGAAACAGCAGCCAAGCTTTCTGCTGTCACCTTGACAAGGTGAGGGCCAATGCATCATTTTCTCTAGGCTGTCCCAGGTCAATTACTGATTGTCGCAGGACCCACCAGCCCACGCCACTTACCACTGAGAAACAGCTTCTCCAATTTCTCCAGCAGCTCTGCACACTGATTCAGCTGCTCCTGGAAACCTGTGGCCATGCAGTCATCCACATCGCTGGCCTGCAGCAGCTCTGCAAACGCCTTAATCATGGTGTTTATGTGCTGACGGTAAACGACACAGATGCCATGGCTATCCTTAATCTGTTGCCGCTGAAGGGAGAGCTCCCTGGCTTGGGACTGAACTAATGAACCGTATCTGATAAAAGGGGGAAAAGAAAATGCTTGTGCCACTTTAGAATTTAATTTTTGTGACCTAAATGCTAATCAGAAAAATCACAGAACAAAATTTTTACCTGCAGCTATACAAGTGTGTATTTAGAAAGGCTGAAACTATACAAGGCCACTCCTTCTTGGAGATTAAAGAGTCAACAAAGCTAGAACAAAGACTTCTGCAATAGTTTTAACCTTATAAAGCTCCCAATTAAAGTATAATTGCCAAGGACTCAAGAGAACAACTACTTTTATTCTAAACTGTAGAAACAAGTGCCCCCAAGGATCCAGGGACCCACCAAAAACTCTTGTGAAGCTCAAAGAAAAAGAAGGTATAAGATAGGACTTTCTCCTCCCAACTGAAATGTCAGAGAATAGTCATATGGCTAGTAACCACTTGCATAGTACATAAGACCTGTCAATCACCAAAGGAGGTATTCTATATAAGTTACTGATTCAGTCTTCCAACAAATGTATTAATGCCTCCTTTTAGAGGAAACAAAAGTGATCACAAAGTTGAGTCGTGGTGAAGATTTGGGATCCAAACACAACTCTGATTATGCAATACTACCTTGTTACCACCGGGGGCTGTCCTTTCCTAGTTGGGCCCAGGAGTGTTAGCCAGAACAGAAAAGTACAGGTGGAGAACATGTGGCTCATAGCAACTGTGGCCACAGTAACCCAGCTCCAAAGAGACTCTGACACTTCAGCTCCCAACGTTCTCCTTCTCTGAAATGACAACAGTGTTTGGGCCTGGCGAGCAGCTCTGACATTACGCATGCACATACTAATCATGCGACACCAGTGCCAGCAGAGGGGCTGGTTCAATGGAAGAGGAGGAACATGAGCAATACAAGAGGACAATGTAGGCATGAAGCCTGGAGCAGCTCTGACAGCCCTAGGAATACGCGCAGGCAAGTCACATCAACGCACACAAGGCTCCTTATTTATAGAAACAAGATGAGAACACCTCACGCTCAAGGGTATGGGTATTAAATAAGAAAAGTTCTGTTACCCGGGGCCTGACACAACAGCCCATCAGTAAATGCAAGCTTGCTTCAATCTCCATGCTTGGGAAATCTTAAAAAATTCACTCTGGCTCCTGACAACTCAGAACAATGTGCTTGTCTCAAATTAGTGATGAACAAAGGTCAACTCTACAAATGACCCCATTTTTGCCATATCTTATAAAGCAAAACTATATATATTTATACCCATATAAGGCATTATCTTCGTGACCTAAGAATTCTTCTCTTTCAACATAGCCTTATTTCTGTAAGATGACCTCAGAGGGTAAAGATATGGAAAATATTTATGTTCCTCCCACTCTGCCTAGGACATCAGATTTTGTTCCATAGGACAGCAAAGGCCAATAATGGAGTCCAAGAATAAACACTGCAGTAAAGCAGATGCACTGTAATTCACCAAGTGACTGGTATGAAACCTCTACCCTAGTCCCAGCTCCAGGAAGCAAAATCTGCCTTGTCAAATTCAGAGGACATTCCACCCCTAACTGATGTGCATGTGTGCAGGCACTATGCATTGTGGCCTCGTGTTTCATTTCTCCAAGGGCCTGGCTGCCTGACCCCTACCACAAAGCCTTTCCCAAGGCTGTGACACTGTGATACTCCACACCCCATCACAGAGCAGCAAGCCCCTGGAATTCACACGGCCTGCCTAGAGGCAGCATTGGTGGGCTGCAAGCTTACATGAGGAGAAGGCAAATGTGGAATGTACCTCAAGGGTGAGAGATCTCTAAAATTATTCTTCAGGTTATGGATTTCACTGAAGAGTTGCAAGTTCAAATTCTCCTCCTTCTGCAGCTCATACTCCTGTTCTACCAGCTGCTGTTTTAGGCTTTCCAGCATCCTGCCATCAATCATTTCTGGGGACAATGGACGGATTTTCATATGTTTCACATATCGTACTTGGTGCAAACTTGAGAAGGTCATATCTTCTTCATCAGTGCTGCCTTTGATCTTGTTTGAACCATCTTGGGCCCCTTCTGTCCCACACATAACCGTAATAATGGCCTCACTGCACTGGGAATGTTTGTGAAGCTGAAATACGAAATTCCGGTAGCCCTTCAGCTCAGCTTCCAAGTCATGGATTTTCTGTTTTAAGTATTCTGTATCATGTGAGATGTCAGTGTTCTCGGATTCATCAGTCCAAATCACACTGTCTTTAACAGAAAGCTGACTCTTAGAACTCAAGTGAGCAGATACTGAGGTTGAGCGTGGCAAATCTTCAGGATGCTCTATGCAAGCTGGTAATACGGCAAGGCCATCACCTGCGTAAACTTTAGAATCTGAAAATCAAATATGTTTACGTCAGTAGCTCCTTTACTACTACACACCCCTTACTCTTACATCACAACAATAACTGAGCCAAGACCATTACAATAACTACCTCACGAGCCTCTCTGCCTCTAGTGTTTCCTGTTATGGTTTACACGTTAAATGTCACCAAAAGGCCAGCCTGTGGTGCTACCAGAAGTGGCAGAACCTTTAGGAGGTGGAGCCTAGTGGAAAGAGGCTAAGTTATTGAGGGTGCATCTAAGAAGGAAAGATTGTGCCCATGAGGGGCAGACTGTGACCCTGCCCCTCCCCCTCTGCCTCTCAGCCACCATGAAGTGAGCGGCTGTGCTCCACTCTGCACTCTTTTCCACAATGTTCTGCCTTGCTACAGGCCCAAAGTGACAGAGCCAGGCAACTATGGACTGAATCCTCCGAACCTATGAGGCAAAATAAACTTTTCTTCCTTTCAAATTGATTTTCCCAGGAATTCTGTCACAGCAATAGAGACCTAACAAACACATCCCTTACCTCTCAATTTATCCTCTTTCTCAAGAGCAAATGTTTAAAAGAGTGAAATGAACATGACAAACCAGCAAGAAACCTAAAACTCATAGTATACCCACTGCCAGAGACCTTCCATGATCTTGTTCTAGCAACCTTTCAAGAAACACTCCCTGTCACCACCTATGGAGGTTTCCAGTAAATTAACCACAGCTCCTTGCACATACCATGCTCTTTCATGCCTCCATACTTTTGCATGTGCTGGGCCCACTGCCTGGAAAACCCTTAGCTTTCTATTCTACTCCTACTCTAAGAACTCCTACACGTCCTCCCAGATCTAATTTTTCTTTCTCTGCAAGCCCACCTCTGAACTATGCAAAAGTCATTCTTCTCTGTGCTTCCATAAGTCTTATACATATATGTTACCCCAACAAACATACTATGCTGTGGGGACCAATCAGGAATTACAGTTGGCTTATTTATTTATTTACACACCAATCAGTTATTTGGAAGCCTCTCTCCCTCACTAGACTGCACACTGCTTTGCAGCAGAGATGTAACCTTTCATCCTCATGTTCTCAGGGCCTAGTACGGTACCTAGCACAGATCGGAAGTCAGTGACAGTTTGGGAAATATTGAGGGCCTCATGAAGCAACATTAAAGAGCAATAATTCTCAACACCCACAACAGGAATGTGCTTTTCTCATTTCCAGTCTCCTAGTATCCAGGAGACATCGTGATGGCTCCTTTGTGAGCTTTTTCACTGACTCACAAGCCTGTCAAGAAACATTTCCTGATACCAAGCTTAAATCTCCAGAGCTGCAGCCCAACTCATTTGAAAGGTGCATTGGTGGGTCAGAGAGAAGACAAAGAGCAGTAAGATCACAACTAGATTTGCTGTTTGCTGGGTGCACAACCCTTAACCCCTGTACCACACTGCCTGCTTCTCAGAGAAACTGTAACTCCATACAAAGAGTTGTTCAAATACTTTTAAAGGCAGCAGAATACAGTGGGAAAAAAATCAATTTTGAAATCCAACAGACTTAGGTTTCCAACACCGAATTTGCCACTTATTGGGTGTATGACCTTAGCTATTTAGGCAAAGTAGCTAACCTCTCTGAATCTCAGTAACTTCATCTGTAAAATGGAAAGAACATCATTCACGATGAAGAGTCGTATTTGTTTGTGTTTTAGGGTTTCTCTGGTGTGAATAAACTATAGTAGTATGTAAGATCCTAATGATATAATGGACAATGTGAAATAGGAAGAAAATGGCTAATGGTGTAGGGAAAGTGGGAAGGGTGGGGGAAAGCTAATAAGAGGAAAAATATGAGAAAATGAAAAAATGGAAATGAAGTGTTTATAAAGGGGGAGAGGAGGAGGGGTGAAGGGAGGGCAGGGACAAGGGGAGAACCAAGACCTGTCATGTAAAGGTACAAGATCCCAGTGATGAATGTAACTGTACTGTGTACCTAAAATGTACCAATAAACTCGATGGGGGAAAAAAAAAGAAGTGAAGGAACCTAACTAGTATGAATATGTTCTTTGTTTCCCCTGAACCATTACATGATGGAAGGAGATACCCATCACTGGAAGCATGCAAGTGAAGGCTACAAAAGCAGCACTGTGGGATGGACCAGCTGACCTAGAACACTCAGAAGAAAATCACACAAATATCCTGTGATACTGCACGTTCCATTGTCTGGTTCTGCAATCTGCCCCTTGTGACTTTAGGTCACTCTTGTCTCTGGTCAGGATGCAAAAGCCATAAACTAAACCTTTTTGTTTTAGACAGCAGCTGCCACGTGACCTAAAGGAAGCATTCCTGATACAGCACTCTTACTGTGTCTACAATTTGTTAGGATCACTACTCTATGAGGTTTGTTATTCATCTCTTAATCCAGTGTCTGGCATGGTTAATCTGACTGTTAGCTTCACTGGCTTGAGAAACACCTCGGAGACAAATAAAGCATACTTTGGGTGTGTTTGGTCAGGTCGTGGGGGCAGGACCACGGAGACCGTATCTAGTCCCTGGCCCCTTGCTCACTAGATCTCCTCCTCTTCTCTGATTTCTGGGCAACATGAGTTGAGTAGCTTCTCTCTGGCTTGCTCTTCTGCCATGATGTTTCGGCCTTGGAGTCAACCAATCAGGGACTGAGACCGTGAGCCAAAATAAACATTCAGTACTTTAAATTGTGTATGTCAGGTATTTTGTTCCAGAAAAAAAAAAAAAGCTAACCAATATAAGGCCAATAATGGAAAAGCTAATCAGTAAGTACTTCAGGCTGAAAGAGGGTGAAAAAGAAAGAACAAGGGAGAAATCTCTCCACAAGGCTTTGCTCTAGTGAATCACTCTCCATTATAAAGAAATATTTTTGCTATAACCACCTCATTCTAATGGAATTTGGTCTTTATTTCATGACAAAAAGCAATGTTTGCTCACAGGACCAAAGGTTAGGTCCAATGACTTTCATTAAGTAATCATGAGGTGAAGACAAATAAGTCCTGTACAAATGTCCATTTGTGACACAGACCGTGGTCAGCCCTGGTATTAGCCACACACAGAGACACATCCCAGTTAATGCCTGGGGGAGGTGCACTCTCACACGAACACTTGGGCCTGCGATTTTAACTCCTTCTCTAAAAATGTAAGAAACACATAAGAAACATATCTCACTAATAGTTTGGACTTCAGAAATGCCCCCCAAAAGTCCACAATCTATAGCAATTTGTGATTTAGCAGAAGTTAGGATTTGGCTTTCAGGCTTCAAGGCTAAAACACAGCAAGGCTCATAGCCAGAACCAGCTCGGCAATATCTCAGGAGCCTTTGACAAAGGTACAAAGGAGCTGCTTCCACTGTTTGGTTAAGAACCACTGTACGGAGAGTGGGAGAAAGGGAGGACTGCAGGTTGTAGGGTGAGAAGTCACCCCATCCCCTGCACTGATTTCATTATCTGCAGCTGCTTACACCCCAACTAGACAGAAAGTTCTCCGAAGGGAGAGATGGCAACTAATTCATCTCTTTCCTCTCTCTCTTATACCCTGTGTAGGAGGTCAGGGACACAGGAGGCCTGACCGACACCATAGGACATGCCAGGACCTAGCACCTCACTTGTATTGTCTACTTACAGCAACCCTGGGGGACATTGTTAGTATCACCCATTTTGCAGAAGAAGTTAAGGCTTTGAGACCTGGCTAATCTGGCCAAGGTTTAAGATGAGAAGCAAGACCCTTCATCAAACTCTGGGGCTGCTTGCTTCAACGCTCTGAAAGCTGCCTCCTGCTACAGCCCTCCTGCTGGGAGGGTGGGAGTGGAAGAGATCTGAACCCTCGGTGTGAAGGCTAGTAATGCCTGTGTGATCCCTTCATTCACTTCAAAAGTGCCTACTAATGGACGCCTGAAGTAATGAAGGCAGCACCCACCCCTGAGGAGGGCAGTCACTAAGCAAGTTATGTCAATTCAATACCAAAGGAGGGGAGGGGAGGCGGGGGGAGGTACAGGAGCTCAACAGGAGTCCTCAGATACTAGGGTCTTGAGAAGTACAGCTATGGAAAGTGAAATTTAGGTGGAGATCTATACAATGAGGCTTCCCTAGGCATCATTAAAAGGAGAAGTTCAGGCAGAGGCAACAGCATGTGCAAAGTTCTAGGTGGTGCACATTCAAAAAAATACAGGAAGTTCAGAGGTAAGGGCATACTGAGCAGGAAACGGAAACCATCAGAAAGTCTCTATTAATCACTAACTATGAAGAAGATGTCCAAAGAGGTCCCTATGGTCATCTCTTTAGACCATAAAAAATACCGTAGTTTTAAAACTTTCTGCAATGACTAAGGGGTACTTCACTGCACAAGAGAACTGCTTTCTCCTCAAAGCCCCAAAGACCCTGGAGCATGTGACTGCACTGATTTCTGGCCTTGGGAAAGTGCACACCAGTGGGATGGGGTGCACAGGTGAATCTTTATCCAGAGCCTGATGATCATTCCCATGGTCATCCTACAACAGCTTCAGGATTTCTGGTGACCTTTATTTCTTACAGTGAACCAGATCCAGAATAACAGTGACTTTTAAATGAAGGGTTAAAAAAAGATCTAAGGTAAAAACATGTAAGCATTTACTCATTCTGACTGAACAGTAACATGCATATCTGCTGGGTTATCCTGTGAGTATCTGTATGCTTATAATGCTTCATAATTAAAAAACAGGAGGAGGATACAACTTGCTGTTGGCCTCACTCACTTCCCTGCACCTTCCGCACTGGCCTATTGGCAAACCCCACACATGTGGCCTCAGTGGCAGGCTCTCCTCTGACCTTCTCCTCCTGGGCAGGGGAAGATCACCCTTGTATACAGCTCCACAGCAGCCAGCACCACCCTCGATGTTAACTGGGTGTTTCAATAATTGTCTCCCAAATGTGTGAGGTCCCTTGAGAACAGCTACTGCATGTGTTCGAGAAAAGGATAATGATTCCTTGAGTGAACTATGGGCCTAGTGATAATTTTGACCTAAACCATCCCAAATAGCGTCTGGCCCCAGTAGCTGTTCAAAATCCATGGAGACTGAGTTCTGACCGGTCATGTAGCTTGTTTGCTGGTCACAGTTCCTCTCCTCGTCCCTCTGGGCAGAGGGTGTGGTTTTGGTTCCTTTCTGCTCTCCTGAGCTGTCCTGGTAAGCAGCTCCCATAAGGGGCTGAGCTGTAGGCACTGGCAAAGAGAAAGAAAAATAAAAGCATAGACTTGAAACTTAGCCAAGCAACTGAGAAGAACACAAAGATACAACAGGGAAAATAAAAGCACTGAGGAGGCAAAATGCAATTTATAAGATAAAATTAATCTATCGAGCTGCCATAACAGGACATAAAAAGCATAAATACACTGCAGCTTGTCTGAAATGGTTTAAGTCAGGTTCTCAAAAAACCATGAGCGAGAAAATGAATTCCATCAACTCGTGCCCATTTTTCCCATGCGAGAGAGGCCCCAGGGTCCTCTGGGCAATGGCAGGAGCAGCACCTCATTGAGGCACCCTTGTGTTTCAGCAAGAAGTGAAAACACTGCTGAGAGCAAATGGCAGCCCCTGCACTAAGTGCTAGGGTTTCTCTTGGGCTGAGTCATCTCTGCCATAAAATCTTTCCTCTCAGAAGCCCCTGCCCCACTCCTGTGTTGATTTAATTTTCTGCAGCTGCCCACACCCACAACTAGACACGGAGCTCTCAGAAGGCAGAGGCTGTAACTGATTCATCTCGGTTGCCCCTACACCATGTGTTGTGAGGTTGGGGACACAGTGGGTGTTTTGGGGGGGTCATTCCCTGAATGTATGAGTAGATGCCCGGATGGAAGGAAGAAAGGACTGACAGACGGTGGAGAAGGGAGGGAAGAGCAATTCTACCAAAAGCTAACTTATGTTGAAACCTCAACTACAATAAACCCAAGACAGAACCTAATATTAAATGGAAGTTACCTCTGGCTATAGATCATCATAAAATCCACATGAGCAATATCATACGCTAGGCTCTGTAGAACAGGAAAGAAGGCAGGCTTCGAAACCAGGCAGGCTGGTACACAAGTAGCTCTAGAAGTTAGTAACAGGGAGACGACACACAACTAACTTTATCTCTGAAACTGCTGTCTGAACTGAAGACAGATAATTACTGAACAACCAAAGGACTGGATTTAATTATTGTGTTCATAATATCTATAGCAGGGCTCAATAAATAACAAGTGCTTGTTGTATTAATACTACAGGAAGTCCAGGGCTGACCTCTGAAAATCCCTTCACTGGACACTCTCTCCCCTGGGACACATTCCTCTCACTAGCAACTCCAGGATCATCAAGCTCCTCTGTGGATGTCAGTCTCACCTCATCATACTAAGTGAGCCAGGGCTGTCCCTAGTGGACACTACTGCTCTCCAAGCCATCACAAAAGTGACTATTTATTCCCACATCTCTGAATTTGGGGTCTGGAATTGTGCCAGTGCCTTTGTTCCCCACTGTCACTTCCAGATCATTCTATCTCTTCCCCCAAACCTTTAGCTTTGCACTTCGTGCTGCTAGACGATACCACCAGGACCCTCATCCACCATTCACCAGTTCACTGGGACCCTGGAGATTCAGTGATCATGAGGCTCGTGGCTGCTCTGCTTCTCTACGCCTCTTGCCAGTACTAATCCTCCAGGGCTTCAGTTCTTGCAGGACTCCTGCAGCTCCTCTCCTCCATGCTCTGTCTGGAACCCATGACATCAGGCCCTGCCCACTCCCTGGAATCAGTTCCCTTAAAGGCTTCCTTGTCTCTCTGGGCCAGAGTGTCCTCCCTCACTGGCTGCTCCCTCTAAGTTCAACTTCTAACTTCTAAAGAGTCCCACTCTCAAGACCCTGTAAGACTGCATAGCTTTAAATACTAGTGCTATGTGGCTATTTCCTAAATTTCAGCCCAGACCTCTCCCCTTGACTCCAAACTCTATCTCTGCCTGCCCGCTGTCTACACTAGCATGGTCAACAGGCATTTCAGTAATTCCCAAACCAGACATCTAATATCCCCCACAGCTGCCTCTCCTGCAGTCTTTCCCATCTCAGTGTGTGACAACTCCATCCTTCTAATGGTTCAAAGCACAAGTGATCCTTTAAAGCAGGAGCCAGCCAACTTTTCTTAAGGAAACTAATAATAAATATTTTAAGCTTTGCAGGCCGTAGGGTCTCTATCTATCGTAGCTATTCTACTCTGCTGGCATAGCGCAGAAGTACTTACAGTACTTGCAGATGAATGAGTGTGGCTGTGTGCCAACAAAACTTTATTTACAAAAACAGGCAGCAAGTTGGATTTGGCTCAAAGGCAGTAGTTTGCCCATTTGTGCTTCAAGGCTTAAATCAGATCACATCCCTCTGCTGATCAAAATCCTTCAATTTCCAATTTTAGACAAGAATGCCTATGGGATCCTACCCAATTTTCTACCCACCCCTAACCTCATCTTCTGTATCTGTCCCTCTTTCTCACTCAATGCTAGCCACATATTTGGCTTCAAAATCAGCAGTCAACATATCTACTTTCACAGATTCATGAACTCTCAGAAAACAATGTAAAATGCTACCATGGGCTGATCCGCACTGTGAAGGGCTCTCAACATACTCCAGATTTTCAAAGGAGTGATGACCCAAAATCTCTAAGCACCACTGTCTTAGACAAAGAGGACACATACCATCTGATGTGTTTCCTCCAAGTCTCTGGAATCTGCCCCTTTAGACACATTTTAACCCAGGCCCCCAGAAGAGCAGAAGCGGTAGATTCAAAGTGGTCAGAGAGGTAGGCCATTTCTAGAGGAAGACATAAGGTCAGTAAGGTTTGCACTCAGCCCAGGGATGCCCTCAATATTCCTGCAAAGAGGACTCTCACCTGTGTACTTCTGATGCCACATGCCCAAGGCTTCCACAGACACAGCCAGGCCAAAAGCCCAGACTGAAGCTGTCCACAACTGGGCACCTGCACACAATCCCAGGTGAAGGCAGCAAGATCCCTCAAGACCTAAGAACACTAAACATCCCACTGATCCAGACCCCATAATAGAAACGAAGCAACAGATTAAATCTTCCTTATTGTGTTCCTTCGTTGTGCATTTATTAAGATTAATCACTGCAATTCATGAAATCTATACTCAAACTCAATGCAATTCTAAACAACAAGGTTGACATTTCAGGCAGTTCTATCATGTTGCTCATCTAGCTCATGGCAAAGGCATTTTTCTTGGTCCTTACCATTCAGTAGCTTTGGGTCAGGTGCTGGCCTCTCATCCATCATTGCTTCAGCCAGAATTAACTTTTGGTGAAGTCGCTTATTTTGAGTTTTAAACTCCTTCAGCTCCCCCTGCAACTCCAAGATCTGACCCTGCAGATGAGTTACCACCCCCTGGGAGGCAGGAAGATGATACGTATTTCCTAATGACCAGGATGGTTTTGCTAGGATCGGCAAGCGGGACCTCTTAACATCCTGCAAACACACATACACAAACAATGAACACACTTCAAATATATTTTCTTTGGTTGATTTTACAAAAATCATGCTGATCTTATAAAATAGGTTTCAAACTGGCCACCCAGACTACTGGTTCCTACAATGGCTTTTTGTTCAACTTCCTGTTGAACAAATCTAGCACATATCTAGGCAGGTATCCCCTCTGATTGTCAAGGGTTAACTCTTAACATCCTCTCAGCCCTGGCCTTCTGTCCTTGGACAGTTCAGATAGATTCTCCATATCTGGCAGTTCTTTATCCAACACAATCATTTGGGAAACATTTTTTCCCACTTATTTCCTTATTTCCCACCCATTCCCCATGTAAGCCAATCTGTCTCCCACCACGTTAGTCCACCAGAACTACTCCATACTTCAGTGGCTCCTGAGCAGCCCAGGGGATTTTCCAACTCACCCATCCTCAACACCTTCATTTGCAGTAGGTTACAGACACTCCAAAGCCAACTGAAAATTCAACGCTTCAATGCCATCATGCCATGTCCCCACCCACAAATCCACAATACTGCACTTACCTGTCTTGGTGAGTCATTCAATCATCCCCTTATTGTACAATCCAGAAACCTGGGAGTAATTTTTAAACTTCCCTTTATTCTCCTCATTTTCACCATTTATCAGATTTTAATGACTCCAACTCCTAAGTTGTCTCTCAATTCCTTCAACTCTTCTCATCTTCCACTGCTACCGCCAACACAAAGTTGCTGTTAGCTCTCACCTGGGCCACAGTAACAGCCTCCTGAATGGCTCCTTCATGTACTCACTGTTGTTCTCTCTAATCCACTCTTACAATTGCTTTCCAGTTCTCTTTTGACAAAGGTCAAAGTCTTTCTACTTCCCCACTAACTCTAAATCATTCATCAGAACTCAGCTCAAGGTTGCCTTCCTTAGGACAATGGGTCCTGACTTCCAAAACCAAGTCAAGTCTCCCTGTTACACATTTATGTTCCCCTAGAATGTGCCTCAGAGAAGAGTAGGATCATTATTACTATCTGTGCAATTACTTATTCACTGCCTATTCATTGCACCACCCTGTATAAGGCCCAGTGTGCAGGGGTTCTGCTGCATAATTTGGTCACACTCTATCCACAGCTTCCAACACAAGAACTAGTACATATCAGGCACTCCAAAACTATTTTGGAATGAACATACAAACAGTAAGAGGCCAAATGAGGGTGCCTTTCAAATGATGAGTCTTAAACATACTTAAAAACTGAGGGGAGGGAACTGAATTTAGACTATATAAAGAACTCTTACAACTCAATGGCAAAAAAATCAACAATCCAGTTAAAAGATGAGCCAAAGACACCACAGACACTTCTCCAAAGGAGTTATCATACAGCTAATATTACATGAAAAGATGCTGGTATAAATGAGATCACAGTAATATACCACCACTTCAGACCCACCAGGATAGCTATAATCAAAAAGATAGTAATAGTGTTGGTCAAGGTATGGAGAAATTTGAACCCTAATATGTTGCTGGTAATGTAAAATGGGTACAGCTGCTTAGAAAACAGTATGGCATTTCCTAAAACGTTAAATATGGAGATACCATAGACCCATCAATTCTACTCCTAGGGTATATACCTAAGAAAAAGGAAAACACATATATACAAAAATTTATGTTTACTGTTCTAATAACCAAAAAGTAGAAACAATTCACATGTGCTGTACTTGATGAACAGATAAATAAAATGTGGTATATTCATGGGTATGTTACTTATATACTTAGAATATAAGTAGAATATTAGAATATTACTTAGCAATAAAAATAAAGTACTGATCCAGGGCACCAACATGAATGAATCCTGAAAATATTATGCTAAGCAAGGGCCAGGGATTTAGCTTGGTGGCACAGTGCCTGCCTAGCAAACGCAAGGCACCAAAGTGATTCCTGGTACCACACACAAAAAATAAAAATAATAATAATAATAATAATAATAAGCTAAGCAGAACAAGTCAGTCACCAAAGACCACATATTGTATGACTCCATTTATATGAAATATCCAGAATAGGCAAATGGTCTCAAAGTAGACTGACACATTCACAATGCGGCTGTAATTTGTATGCCTTATTGCTAGGCAGCTCTGATTTAATTCATGTGTCTTTGTGCCTGCCGGGTGGCTCTGATTTAATTTTACTAGTAAAAATACCAATAAAAGTGATTAGATCTGTTTGTATTATCAGTGGTACAAGCCACCTGATGGGATGGTCATGCATGTACCACCAGCAGTTCAAGCCACCAGAAATATGTTAAGTGGCTAAAGCTGGGGATGTGTGGGTGGGGAAGTGGACCTCTCTGCTTCTGAGTACAGAGTGTCTTTTTGGGATAACGAAAACATTCCAACAATGGTAACGGTTATACAACTCTAAATATATGTAACCATTAAATATATGATATGTAAATTCTATCTAATAAAGCTGCTACTTGTTTGAATAGGAGAAGTGTAGGAACCTGACACTAAAACAGGAAATATTTAGGACCTAAGGTATGAGGAAAAAATCAAAGTGTCACCAGAAGGAGCAGAGTAGGGGCCTTTCTTGCACATTCTAGGGTGTAAAATGCTTTCCAGCACAGTCTCCCACAATCTCCAGGTCAACTCTATTCTCAGAGCTCATCGCATCACAGAGGGTATCACACCTATTCTCTGAGTGGTGAAACAACTAGTCCACGGTCATACATCAAGAAGGTTCAAGGTTCAAGCTCAAACCAGCTCTTCAGGCTCTAGGTCTCAGATAGGAAAAGCAAAACGCTTTCTGCCCTGAAATTCCAGGCAAGAAGAGAAAGCAGATTCAAGGACAAGAGCAGTCTGCAGAGGTGAGGAGGGAACACTCGGGAAGAGGTGGACAGCTCAGCAAAGAGGGCTGAAAAATAACAGTCATTTGCTTGGTCCTGGGTCTCCACCAATCTTTATTCTTAGATCCAAATCTGTGTGTCATATGGCAGCAGAAAAGATATCTGCAAGTGCACAAATGCCAAAGCCAATTTCAAGCTGGAAGACCGCCGTCAGTCAACCCAATGCTTGTTCTAAAATAACAGCCTGTGAAATGCTACCTTATGGATTCCAAACAGAGTCCACCTACCCCCTTATTAACAATGTCATATCAGAACTTCTTGCTTGGGAATGGAAGGAGGCAGGAACTCACGAACTCTGAGCTCCTTCCACACAGAAGGTACTGTCTTAGACATTCATGACATATTATGTCCATCTGCCACCATGCCAGCCATTAGGATCTAGGTCACACTAAACCCATGCAAGCCACTGAGAGAGGTCAGGAGACTCATTATCCAGGGTTATTACTCAACATGGGTTAAGTAAAGTCCCTCCTTTTGCCTCTGTAACTAAACAGGCAGGACTAGGATATCTGGTCTCTGTTTCAGCCTCTACCAGCAGTTATGTGTGCAGGATACCAGAGTTCTGTTGTAAGCTACCACCAAAACCACAAAGAAAATCATTAAAATTTCTTAAAGTTTGCATATGCTGGAAACCGCATAGGTAATGAGAGGGTTCCAGGCTCCCTGAAAAAGGAAGGCTTATACTATCACTATCTGCCTCTAAAACCAGGAGAGTTCATAACATCTCAGTCCACTTCCCAGCTGAGTCACACTGGACCATTTTCCTGAGCCTTTTAATGTCTACATTTCTTCATGTGTAAAATGTACATATGCTTACAAAATTCATGCTTGTTAAGAAGATTTAACAAGATGGTGTAGAGAAAATTGAGCACAACCCCTGATACACACACACATACACACACACACACACACACAGTAGATAATAAAAAATTTTAAAGCAAAGCACAATTTCTCTCCTTTTAAAACACAAGCAAAACAGGTAAATTCAAACAAAAAATATTTAATATATTTGGAAAAATTAAGTCCATTCAATTATCCAATTTTCCTGAACAGAGGATGATACCTCCCACACAATAGAAAAAAGCAAACAAAAACAAACCAAAAAAAAAAAAATACCTAGTTTTCCTAATAGACAGGTACCAACTAAAGGAGCTGGGGCAGATGAGAGCACTTTCATTTTAGCCAAATTACACAAATTTGCATTTTGAGTACCATTAATATAATGGCAGTGTATTTTTTTCTTTTTAGGTCTCTACCGGTATCTTTAGAAAACCTTTTTCTGGAAATTATAGTTTGGGTGCATAATTTAAAACAATCAAAAGCAATTTTGCTAATGATATATCTAACTCTCTTTGGTATGCACAAAAGCAGTAATTTAGTGGTCAGAAAATAAACTTAATTCTCCATTCTGAGGCTAAGAAGCAGTGTGTACAGTTGATTTCTCAGGTACAAAACAGCCATCAGAGACAAGACTCCAACAGTCTACCCTGGAACTCTTTTAGAAACACGATCTACTTCTTTCCTATCAGAACACATCTCGTAACCACAGGGATTCTCACCCCAACTTCTACTCTCAAAAGGACTGCAGTGAAGACGCAATCAAACACTGCCAAGAAAGCCTGGTTTTTAGCACTCCTGCATATTTGATTATATTTGCAGAGAAGCTCCCAGACAGCACCTACACTGGATACTCAACAAAACCAGACCCTTCCATTTCAGGCTACCATGACTGAAAGATAACTTGACCAAGGAAAGAGTGTCAGGCACAGTGGGAACCCCAGCCCAGACTCTTAACTGCTGGCCAATCATGGAAACTCAGAATCTGGCTTTAAATCCAGACCAAGCCCTGAGAAAAATACTTCTCCCTCCAAAAGTCCTCACAAAATAAAACTTCATCCCCACTCTAAAATCATCACAATTTTACTTTAACTTGCTAACCGAAATGTCCATCAGCAGGTGAAAACTGTATTTTGGCACATCTTCACACTGGAACCTTATATAGCCAGTAAAAGAAAAATGTCTCCAATACATAATGTAAAAGAGAAAGCTAAGAGAGATGTGTGAACATGAGTCCATGTACAGTTTTTCTAAGGAAAACACAAAAATATCCTGACATACAGACAAATGAGATAGGGCTGGGACTGAAAGAGGAATCAAGACAATGCGAGTGAGACAGGAGAGAGGGAGGGAGAGGGACAGCTGGAAGCATGTACACCTCTAGGTGAAGGCCACGAGCAGAGAAATACCAGACTTTTTCTTCACATAAATGGAAAAATATGGTGGCAGTGGAGATAATATACAGACAAACTTACTTTGTTGGCTGTGCTTAGGCAAGGAAAGGGAGTGGCCTGATGTCCTGGCATCCCGCACTTGTTCTCTGCACCAAATATGGCATCTGTTGGCCTCTCTTCCCGACACTTTCTCTTCCCTTCACCTTCAAACCTGAGCAGGTGATTCTCCACGGGCACAGTCTGCACTGAGGCGTCTTTCAGCTCCACCTTGGCCACATCACCCATCTTTACCAAATGGGCCCCCGTTGACTTCAGTTCACCATGTGGTTTGGTGAATGAGTTAGCCTGGACCAAATGTCTGAGTTCATCTCTCAGCTGAATGGCCATTTGCTTAACTTTCTTCTCAGTTTGACCATCAAGGTGTTCTCCAGAAACTCCCTGCTCCACCAAGCACATCCGTTCCAGAAGCAGTTCATGTAATGCTTTCAGAAGGTCTGGTCCGTTTCTCCAAAGAGAAGGAAACAAGAGAAATAAACATGTCCTCTAGCCAGTTCCAAGTTGTCACCACTAACTCTTGCCCATGTTCTGCCTAAAATAAATATAGTCCCCACAATATGCCAGGAACCACACCAAGCATTTTATCCCATGTAATCTCACAATCCCCAAGCAAGGCAATTACTACTATGTTATTTCATGGGTAAGAGCAGCATTTGACAGAAAGTATGCACCAAGTGAGTGGGCCACATGGATAGTGAGTATAGGTTGGGCTGAGGTAGGATCAAGTAGGACCATAAGGTGTCAAGACATCACAGGGTGCCCAAACACAACCCGAGACACTGGCCTCACTCCTATGCCCAAGGGCAAGGGTGGCTTTGGATTAATCTCACCAACCTTTCTGGTCCATAGGTAACCTGACCAATCCTGGTGCACAGTGGGCACTCAATAAATAGATATTAATGAAGAGATGCTTCATTAACATGCATATATGTAAAACAGAAGGCACACTGGCTTCGAAGGCAGATAAAAATGCCTTCAGGGATGGGTGTACCTAGCCTTCACAAGGCCATACATTCAATCTCCAGCATGCAAAAACTAACACAATAAAATAAATAAAATGGCTTCAAATTCTAATTCGGTGATTCTTTGAAAGGAAGATAACTCTTCCTCCACAGGAGAGCTACGAGGATTAAATAAGGTAGTGTCTGGGTGGCAGTGAGTTTTTATGACCCTTGTCATATGTCCTTGGCTTCCCTCTGACTTCAGCTGCAGCTGTGGGATGGAGCTTATGGACACAGCCAGTCCCACCTGGAGCACTTCTGCATTCCATTGCCTGGGTTCTTTCTAAAGCTCTAGGAGTCAGGCAGTGTGGAAGTGTGGGGATGCCGACACCTCTGGGGAACCCTCCATCAGTTGGGCTGAGAGCTGTGGGGGTAGTAGCTAAGACTCTAATCTTCAGAGGACAACATAGGCACAGGCTACTCTGTCCCTAAGAGGGTTCCCAGAAAGATGGGGCCCCAGCTACCCAGAGCATTTACCAGGTCAATACTATACCCTTACTGGCTTGGCTTTCACGGTCTCTCTCTCTCTCGCTCTCTCTCTCTCTCTCTCTCTCTCTCTCTCTCTCTCTCTCTCCACGTTCTCCCTCACACTCCTGCACCCTGGTGCCACATACTATACTAAATTTATCACTTGTACCCAAGTCTGTATCTCAGGCTCTGCTTTTCAAGGAAACAAAACTAGGCCAGCATGTAAAACACATGGTATGGTGCCAGTGATTTAAGAAAGTTTTTGTTGAGTGTGTTTCTTGTGCCATGCACTGTAGGGGGAATCAGGAATATTACCAGCAAGGACTTAAGACTGGTGTGAGAGGTCAGTGTGTAAAAATCACCACTCCACCACAGAAAAAGGGAAACAAAGGCTCTGTGGAAGGTTGGTAGAGTTACAGGTTAACTACCCAGTGTCCAAACTACACATGAGAGAAACATGTCAGAAGGGGGCTTGTGAAGTTGAGGAAAGGTTGGTAAGGCTCATTGAACAATCTGAATATGGACAACAACAAGAACAGTCACCAAAGTGTAGCAAATAAGGAGGTGAGGCTGGAAAGCCAGGCAGGAGAGACACAAAGAGTCTGGCAGGCCATGTGAAGGAAAGGAGGGCCTGGAAAGACCTGTGACACGGTGGCCCCCTCACATGTGTCCTTCAAAAAGAAGGACCGATTTCCTGCCAAGAAGGTGCTGAGCACAAACCGAAGCTCTTTCCACTCTGTTCTGATCACAGAAATGACAGCAAAAAGCCATGACAACAGAGCATTTCAAGGTGCACCAGTGGGCTCAAACTTAAGAAAAAGGCACCTACAGATCAGTCACAGAGGAAACAGAATGGGAGCCACAATGAGGGCCTTTTCAGAAAGTGGTAGAGCCAGAAGTGTAACTCCCAGGATGGAAGAGGAACCACACAAATGTCACTGACCTTTATTAAGAAGCTGAGCTGAAACAACTTCAGGACCACCACACAGGGAGAATACAGGTGGGATCTGTTAGGACAAGCAAACCAAATTTGCACCAAAAAAAAGCCAACAAAAAAGACAATTCAGAAAATGGAAGAATTCACACTCAAGAAAACAGAAATCATAAAACAATCTGAAGTACTAGCAAACAGAATACCGAGGATCATCAAGAAGATCATACATCCTGACCAAGTTGGATTTATTCCAGGTATGCAAGGATGGTTCAACATAGGTAAGTCAATAAATGTAATACAGTATATTAACAGAGTCAAGGACAAAAACCATATGATCCTCTCGATAGATGCAGAAAAAGCATTTGACAAAATTGAACATCCATTCATGATAAAAATCCTGAAAAAAACTGGAATAGATGCTCTATACATCAAATTAACAAAGGCTATCTAAGAATAACCAACAGCCAACATCATATTAAATGGCCAAAAACTGAAAACCTTCACATTAAAATCAGGAACAAGCCCACTATCAACACTCCTCTTCAATATAGTTCTGGAAACATTAGCCACAGCAATTAGACAAAAGAAAGAAATTAAAGAAATACAGATAGGAAAGTAAGAAGTTAAACTGTCATTATTTGCTCATGATATGATACTCCAATTACATTGAAGACCCAAAAAATTCCACCAAAAGACTTCTAGACTTAATTGACACTTTCAGCAGAGTAGCTGGATACAAGGTCAACATTCAAAAATCAATAGCCTTTTGTACACAATAACACAATAACAGTCTCACTGAAAGAGAAATTAGAGAAACAATTCCGTTCACAATAGCATCCAAAAAAATGAAGTATCTAGGAATCAATCTAATGAAAGAAGCAAAAGACCGCTATACTGAAAACTACAGCACTCTGAAAAAAGACATTGAAGAGGATATAAGAAAATGGAAAAATATCCCCTGCTCCTGGGTAGCAAGAATCAACGTAGTGAAAATGGCTATACTACCAAACTGCTATACAGATTCAATGTAATGCCAATTGAAATTCCAACACTATATTTCACAGAACTAGAAAAAATAATCCAAAAATTCATTTGGAATCAGAACAGACCTAGAATAGCAAAAGCCATCCTAGGCAACAGAGACATGGCAGCGGGTATAACAATTCCCAATTTGAGACTATACTACAAAGCCACTGTGATAAAAACAGCATGGTACTGGCAAAGAAACAGACCTGAGGATCAGTGGAATAGACTGGAAGATACAAAAGCAACTCCAGATGTACTCAGCTACCTCATCTTTGCCAAAGGAGCCAAACATCCTCACTGGAGGAAAGATAGCCTCTTTAATAAATGGTGTTGGAAAAACTGTATTTCAACCTGCCAAAGATTAAAACTAGACCCTTATCTTTCACCATGCACTAAACTAAAACGCAAGTGGATTAAAGATATAAATACCAAAAAAAAAAAAAAAAATCACTAAATTTGCTGGAAGGTAAGTTAGGCAGAACTCTTGAAGACACTGACATAGGAAAAGACTTTATGAGCAAATCCTCAGTAGCACAGGAACTAGCAGAAAGAATCAACAACTAGGATCTCATCTTATTGAAAAGCTTCTGCACTGCCAAAGAAACCATCAACAGAAGTAAAAGATAACCTACAATGTGGGAAAAAAAATTTTACCAGTTGCTCCTCAGACAAAGGACTATTATCTAGAATATATAAAGAACTCAAAAAAACCAGCCCCCCCAAATATAAAGACCTGATTCAAAAATGGGCATCTGAAATGAACAGACATTTCTCAAAGAAGACATTTCTCAGCAAGTAAATATATGAAAAATGTTCCATATCACCGGTCATTTCAGAGATGCAGATGAAAACAACACTGAGATTCCACCTCACCCCACAAAGAATGGCTGCTATCAAGAAATCAAACAACAACAAATGTTGGTGGGGTTGTGGGGAGAAAGGAATCCTTCTCCATTGTTGGTGGGAGTGCAGACTGGTGCAACCACTACGGAAATCAATATGGGGATACCTCAAAGAGCTGGGATTAGAGGTTCCATTTGACCCAGCCATCCCTCTGCTGGGTATCTTTCCAAAAGAATTAAAAGAATCATATCACAGTGATATATGTGTACCTATGTTTATAGCAGCACAGTTTATAATAGCTAAAACTTGGAAATAGCCCATTTGCCCATCAGTTGGAGACTGGATAAAGAAGATGTGGTTTTTCTTTAAAATGGAATACTACTCAGCCATGAAGAATGAGAAATTAAAGTCTTTCATAGGAAAATGGATACATATTGAAGATATACTCCTAAGTGAAATAAATAAGTCACATGTGTATAAATACCAAATAGTTTCTCTGGTGTAAAAAACTATAATGGTACATAAGATCCTAATGATATAATTGACAATGTGAAATAGGAAGAAATGGGCTAAAGGTGTAGGGGAAGTAGGAAGGGTAGGGGAAAGGTAATAAGGGAAAAGAAAAAAAAACATGAGAAAATGAAAAAATGGAAATAAAGTATTTGTAAATGGGGAGGGGAGGAGGGGGTGAAGGGTGGGCACAGATAAGGGGAAAAAATGAGAACCAAGACCTGTCATGTAAAGGAACAAGATTCCAATAATGAATGTGACTGTACTGTATACCTAAAATGTACCAATAAACTCAGTGAGAGAAAATAAATAAAACAATCTGAAGATTTCCAAATAAGAATGTTTATCATCCAAAAAATACAGGAAAGAAACATGTTCAAAAGAAACAAAGAGGAAGTACAGAAACTGAGGTAGAGAACTAGGGAGGAAAGGAATAGGGGAAGGCTCTAGGCAGTGTTCCTTGGAAGGCTGCCAGCCTTCCAGGAGTGGGATAATGCAAATCAGGATGAGGTCCTGCAGCTTGCAGGAAAAAAGCAGCACAGCCACATGACCTTACTTCCTTTTCTTCTTTCCTTTTCTTTTTCCCGCCTTGTTTCAAGAAATCCTGTGAGACAGTCAGACCAAATCCTACCTTTCTTGTAACATACCCTGGCCTTCCCTCCCTCT